GAGGCTTCTGGCCGTCGAGGCGTCAGTGAAGGGAAGAGGGAAAAAATCACCCAGATTGGCGAGGACGAGCGGAAGAGAAGGCGAGGGTCAAGAGCACGACGATGGGGAGTTGTCATACGCGTCGAGGGCGGTGGTCGGACACTGAAGGGCGTGAAATGTTTCTCGCCTCGGTCGTGGAAAACTCGAACACGAGCGGGCGGGAGGCGACTGGATTGTTGGTCGAGGAACTTGGTGGCCAGGCCGGGCTGCGAGAGTGGGATGCGGAAGGGGGAAAGGCGGCCTCTTAAAAAAAGAAATAGGAGGAGAATGGAGGCAGAGGCGATGCGGTAGCGGCTGGTCTCGACAGACGGTCGTGATTGATCGGGCTCTGAAGGGCAAGGGATTCGTCAACGGCACCGGCAACGGGGGGGGGGATGATGGAGGAGGAGAAATGGGAGGAGCGACAACAGAGACTGGAGGGTGTCTGTCTTTGCTGCAGCCAGCGCGAGACGAGTGCGGCGGCACCCTCGAGGTACGTACCGGCCAGGGTGTCCAATCGTGCAGCGTCGCCGGCCAAGGCCTCGTCCAGACCAATCCGGCGTCGAGGATTCCGGGCCCAGGGCAGAGCACAGTAGTACCCAGGCGTAGTGCTCCGTAGCAGCAAGCAGAGAGAGCCGCCCAGAGCGGGCAGAGGGCAGAGGGCAGAAGGGCAGCGAGGCCGAACTGAGGGGGGCACTTCGTACGAGGACGGCACCGCGGGAGAACCAGCAGTGGCAGCAGCCCTCAGTTCTCTCTGGCCGCCCGGAAGCCGAAGCACTGCGCTGCGCTGCACTGTACTGTACAGTACAGGGCCAGTTAGTGCGTGCGAGTGCTAGCCGCAGTCGCACTAGCAGCCCGGCCCAGCAGTTAGTCGCAGCAGCAGCACCATCGCCCTCTCTCTGGCCCTCGTCCGCAGAAAACCCACATCAGCCATTGCATCCAACTCTGCAGAGCGACACTCATCTCAGCGCCAGGCGACAGAGGCCACAGGCGCTATGCCCAACGGCGAATGGGCGGTGGGAAGCGTCTTAGTGTCGGTGCATGGATGGGCCGTGGGCGTGCGAGTACCGGTACTGGAGTGCTGCGCCATGTGCCCGCACGGGGCGGCGAGCGCCTTGTACAGGTACGCAGCCCTCGCGGCGGGCGAACATGTCCGCGCTGGTACCAGTCCGCCGTGGCTGGGTGCGGGCGAGAGACTGGGCGGGACGGGGGGGTGCGCATGTAGTGACCGGATGCTTTCGTAGCAGTGGTTCGCGGCGCAGGCTGCTGCCTGAGGCACCCAGCTTCTTCAGGCTGCAGAGATGCAGTGCGGCTGGCCCTCCCTCATCAGGCTGGCTGGGTACAAAGGAGCATGTACCGAGGCTGGCGGATGAGGGTGACGCAGGCCAGCGGGAAAATGCCAGCGAGGGCAGATGACGGGGAGCTGGCAGACGGGTGGGCGAGAGGGGGGAAGGGGCAGCACATGTGAAGAGATGAGGGAGAAAAATTGAGTGTGCGCAGGCATGTAGTATGCGTGTGTAGATGCGAGTGCGGTCTGGAGCAGGTTTGGGGTGGGTAAATCGGGGGTGGGTAATGATGCGAGAGTCTCTGACGACGCTGCGGTTGGAGGAGGTCAAGTCAGCTATGGATGTAATGTAATAATATTATGGACCAGGTATGGCAGGCTGTGAGTGTGATGCGGCGCTGAGAGTGTATGCAGAGTGCTTGGGGTTCCAAGGAGGGCCGGAACAGGATTACTTGAGACAGGAATTGGGCGCATGAATAAGCTCGCGAGCACACGACGATCAGAGGAGAGGAGAGAAGGAGAGGCGGCTCACCAGACATCTCCGGCTGGACAAGGCCAGCAGCCTCTCGAGCTGTTGCATCCAGCATGTCGGAAGGAGATGGCGATGCTTTCAGGGCACCGTGGATGGTTTACAGCAGCAGGATTCAGCCGCAGCTCGGCGAGAGAAGCCTGCCGGTGCTGCTGAGCCGGGCCTTTGTGCCTCAGGTGTCATATTGGCGGGCTGCATACATGTAGTATGCGACTGAAGGGGGCGGAAAACGACGAGGCAGAGAGCAGGCGAGAAAAAAAGTTTCGGACTGGGTGTGAGGGCAGAATGAATCAGGTAGGCGGTCTGAATCTGCGATGGCTCTGATCTTTGTGCGTTTGTTCGTATCTTGCATTGGCTTCTGTCTTCCAAGTCAACGGGGTGATGGAGTGAGTTGGAGCACGACAGCGAGCCTGGAAAAAGAAGTTTTCACCACAACTCATATGGCCGTGATTCAGCCAAAGCAAGCAAGGTAGGTATGTTCGTTGCAGCACAACTTCACGGGGAGCCCGCCCTGCGCTGCTCGACCTTAGCGCCCGCTCACTGTAAATTCAGGCACATGCGCCGACCGAAATACATAGAGCAGCCCGTCCATGGCGTCACTGATGAGCGAATGCTGAGCGAACCAGCCACACCTCACCTCACACTCACCTGTTGAGACGGGATTTCTCATTCGGCATCTGCCTCGAACAAGCTTCCGTGCTCCGAAGTTGGTCGTTTGCAAGGTAATATATTCGTACTGTGTCTGGTGTGGTTGCAGTGAGGAGTGGTGCGAATTCTAACGCTTGAGAGCGCATGTACATCGACCCAATCAGTATGAGGCGGGAAATTGTTTCATTAATTACATAGAACGCTGGCGCAGAATAATAAAGTTGAAGAGTGGACTTGTCGGATGTGAGAAAAAAGGAAAAAGATGACAGTGTCGGCAGATGCTCCATCTGGCTGCATTTCTCCAGGTCCTCTCAAGGTTGTTTGGTGCCAGCTGTTGGAGGAGCACTTCTGGTTTGAGAGCCAGGCTGGACGAGTCCGAGGTCTCTGCGCTTGCGAGCAGCGTTTGATTCATGTATCTGTACTCGTACATTCATGAGAGACCACTCAGGATGGAAATTGGAAACTCAGCAGCCCTGAATCCCGTTCTCGGCGGGATCGCGAAGTTGAGCATCTGTTTGCCACTGCTCCAAAACTACGAATACTACTTTGTACAGGTACGAATGATAACGCCGACATCACTCCTGCAGAGATCTTCCAGGACTGAGCATTGCTCTGCGCCTATTCACACACCAACAATGAATGGGAATCTGAAATCCCGCCCGAGCAGCCAACACTCACGCCATCCTCGTACTCGTAAATGGCTCTAGCAGGCGCCTCACTCTCGCAGGTCAAAACCCGCTGCTCTTCCCTTTCCAAGCGGGGAACATGCCTACACTAGGGAAACCACCAGAAACCGCCTCTACCTAGTGTGAGCCTCAACGCTCGCCATCCCAGTCATTTTAGACCCTGCCAGCCTCCCAGAAGTTGATATCTGATTGGCCACGTCTCACGAGCAGCGCGCAATGCTAATGGTGCACTTGCGCGGCGCGCCAATCGCGTCGCTCCAGGATATGGTTAGCGAACCGGGGGCAGATTGGGACGAGAATCTGGCCAATGAGGCTTGCAGCGCAATTCATAGTTGCTACGGGTTTTGACTCTTGTTTTTGTTTTGTTTCGTTATCATTGTTCACAGCGTGTTTCTGCTCTAGATCGTGTGGTTTCGTACGCAGATGGACGTCGGGTGAAATTGCGAGACTGCCCTCTTCCTCCCCCATGACGCGCGTAAGACAACATTTTGGTCGCATGCGTTCATTTTGACTGTTCCACACGTAGCACTGGCACAGCCGAGGGACAGAGTCGTACCCGGGATTTCTTCCAGTTGAGGGTCTAATACAGGGAGATTGCAGATGTCACAAGATTCTGCAGGCGCGGGCTTATCCTTCTCCTTTGTGCGCCTTCAAGGCCGATCCTCCGTACACCTTCTACTACTCACTCAAACGCACACCAACCCCAACCCTCATATCGCTCCTCCATCGTTCGCCTTCCGCCTTCCTCATGCCACAGGCAAGCCTGCGCTCACAATGAAAGCACCCAAAGGGATCAAATCAAAAATTACGCCTCCAATGGCCCCGAAGGACAATTGAGCGCAGGATGACTCCGCGATGTGCAATGCAGGCCTCCCACACTAGTGCCCCGAATTCTTGAGCTCGGGACACTGAAACAAGGTAAGTATGAAGAAAAGAAAAGAAGAAAAAGAAGATTGAAAATGCCGGCCGGCGCGAGATGGTTTTATAGAGCTAGGCGTGGCCCGTGCGTGCACTTCTCACTTTTGGCTGCCTAAGGACTTGGGTGCCTGAGGCAGAAGCCGCGGCAGCGAATCAGCGCAGGCTCCCTTCGCTTGTCAAACGCCCTCATGCAAACGCCGTGCTGCAGGCGAAAACAGGGAAAAAGAGACGGTGAGGCAGAAGGTACCTACCTCAGTAGATCGCTTCTCACTTCCTCTGTGTTCCGTAGGCAAGAGCAAAACCAGCAAGATGTGGCAGGAGAGAGTCATGGCCTCGCTTCACTCGGCGTATTGAAGCGAAAAGGCGACAATCACAGTTGCTGGAGATAATACGCACGAAGCAACTGCGATGGAGATTCGATCCAATTCAATCGATTTCCCAACCGCGCCTGCCCATGGTGAAAAATAGCGGCGCCCCAGGTCGAAGCCACTCACAGGAGTACTTGCCAAGCTTGCTCTCGATGTGCAGGCACCGCCTTCTCCGCACCATTCGGATGGCTTTCCTGCGCAGCCAATGTACCTCTACCGGGCTGAGCGCCTGCAGGGAGTATCGGCGCTGCGTCCAGCGTTATCTTTGCGCCATCCAAGTGGATCCCTTGTCTGGCAATCCGGCCAATGACGGCGCCAAACTGGTCCCATGACGCATCCAACCACCGCAACAGACGCAGCACGGCAGCAGGACGTCCCGTGACGTTGAGCCAGTCAGTGCCATGATTTGCGGCGCTGCCGTCACTGCACATGTACACGCCCAGGTACCTGCCGCATTACCTGAGCCAGCCTCACCTCTACTCTATCCTGCTCTACCTATCGTCTGTTGCCTCAGCCAGCTTTGCCTTCGTTGTAACAAAAAGCGACATCCCGTCCTGCTCCTGATTCATTGCCATCTTTCCGCTGCTCCATCCTCAGCTACACCTTTGACTGTGCCATTACCTGTAACGATGCGTTTCGCTACTACCGTCGCCTGTCTGGCCGCCTGCCTCGCCGCTCCGGCCACGGCCCTCGCCATCTGGGGCGACTCGGCCTCAGCGCTCAACGCCGGCCTCAAGGTCCCTGGAGAGAACCCCATCGAATTCTGCGACGGCAACCGCGCGAATGATCTTATTGAGATTCAGAAAGTCGATCTGGCTCCCAATCCCCCGAAGCCGTAAGAATCTGCCCCAACGACCATCTCGCTATCGCCAAACTTGCACTAACAGCATCAACAGCGGTGCGACGCTTCTCATCACAGCGACCGGCGACGTCAAGAAGACCATCACAAAGGGCGCGTACGTCAAGGTGACCGTCAAGTACGGCCTCATCCAGCTGCTCTCTACGACTGCGGACCTGTGCGAGCAGCTGGGCAACGTCGATCTCACTTGCCCCCTTGAAGAGGGTCAGATGACCATCACGAAGAGCGTCGACCTGCCCACTGCCATTCCTCCGGTAAGGCTCCGCTGCCAGTCTCGAAAAACGATGAGCGGTTTGCTTACACTTAGTGACAGGGAACCTACAACGTCTTTGCCGATGTCTACTCCGACGATGACGAGCAGATCACCTGCCTGAAGGCGACCGTCAACTTCCCCCGACCAGGTCTGGCTTCCTTCCAGAACCCCGAGGAGCTGTAATTTCGGCGTGTTCTGTGATGGGATTATGATCGATTGGCAATTTGCAACGATGGAAACGATCCGGCTCATGATTTCAACCTCCCTTGACGGTTGTGTGTTTTGTTAATGGCATTCTACGACTGTGTTTTCTGCTCTCGGCGAGTTATCTTGTTCTCCTCGGGTGACTATCCAGTTCGGTTCTTCGGCACATTGCGGCGCTCTTGTTTGCTACCTCTAGAGATTGCGTGCGTTTTTCCTCTGATAGGCCCTTATAAAACTATACTCTGACACTGTATCCGAATACCTACATACTTGTCTAGTGCTATCCGCAGTGATTTGCCTTGTACCTTGGTTGGGGTTGTAAGCTGCTGTGGATGCTGCGAAATATTCGCAGTTTTTCTCGAAGATGTTTGTTGATTGATTCTGTGTACAATGGAGGCTCGTTGGAGCCTTACTGAGTGACTTGTTGGCCGAGCAGCTTGGGCGCTTTGGCTCTTTAGCTATACTCCTGGCGTTGTAGACGGACATCGGCAGCTGTGATGCCTCGAAGCTCTTCCTGTTCGCAAACCCGAGTATAGCCCTTGATCAAAAAGTATTTCTTCGACCTCTGAGCTGAACATCATGAATTAAGACTCTATAGCTTCTGGTATCGCAATCCCTCGTTGATGCTCGCTCCACGCATGACCCGTGCTTTCGTACTTTGACCCGGCATACTACACGAAATGATCACTCTCCAAACAGACGGCGCACCCGTCTCAGCACGCTGTCCTTCTCGGGGTCGTAAGGGTGATCTTTGCTTGGGATTTCGAGGACGGTAGGGAAGGCGGCGGTGTAGGAATCAACTCGGTGTCTTATCCGGTCGGCAATCTATCGTTCTCATCAGCATGCTGCATGAACCGATGGGCGTCATTGTCGATAGCCTCAGGGCGAAACTGACATGCTGGTTGATCAGGACGATGCCAATGTCTTTTCTCTCGGTGAAGCTGTCAAACGCGGACTCGATGGCCGCGGTCTCCGTCTTGTTGTCGACGACGAGGAAGTTCTTCTTTGCCTCGGCGCCGGTGGTGATGTGCTGTTGCAGACTGGTGTGAGAAGAGAATCGCTCCGGCTACACGGTTCGCAGAGATGAGGGCCTCTGTTTGTTCATCAGGGTGGGACTTACGCCGATGCCTGCCAGCAAGAGGCCCGTTACAGAGTCCTGTGTCAATGGAGCTGCGGTTAGTACCTTATGGCGATGACGATGATGCGAGACACAGGTTCCCGGAAAAGGCGTGTGTTGCGCGGCTTTGAGCGTTGGAAGAGAGAGAGAGAACGGATGACTTGCCTCGTCGCCGATGACGGCGAGAAACTCCCGGTCTTTGTAGTCTGCCTGAGAAGACATTGCGAACGACCGGACAATGGGGGGGCTGTTGTGTGTCTGGTGATAGGGGAGGAGATGGAAGGTCTCAACTGGAGCTTCAGCCTGGTATTACCGCTAAGAGGTTTAGGTGCTTCCAGCACGTTGTCGCTGAGTGGCCCCGCGCTGAAGTGCAGTGGTGAGGGAGCGGGTTGAGGGTACTTTGGGGGGAGGTATTGCCGGAGGGCACAAGTAGAGCCGATGGCTGCATGTGCTGTGTTGATTTCGGCTGATTAAATCACCTTGGAATACAGCTGCGACAAATTTTGAACTCATGCTTAGCATATGGAATCTTCTTCAATAAGTGCAGTGGTATGTTATCTGCAAGCGTAAGGTATACATAGACGGTCTCTTGTTCTACTATTACCCTCGATCAACCATGAACGGACTTCGCAATAACACAGCCTGGGTACATGTACCCGGCATCAGCGTACCCATCAGATGTCACCGCCCTTGCGCTCTGCAGCAAACAACGGCGCTAGGCTCCAGGCGGTATTTCCACAAGAGCTCATCAAAGTAAACATTTCGCCGTTCAGTTCTCTTTCCTTCTTCCTCTTCAACCACCAACCCGTGGCCGTTCTTTTCCCTTCTTCCGGCTCACGGTGCGTTACGACACCGAAGTCTCCGTCGCCTGCGATCAAACAGCTGCGCGAGACGTCCTTCGAATCTGCCCGTGTCAGGATGCCTCGACTCGTGCGGCGGCGGTCGCTCTGGGAGCGCATCACGTCGATGCTGAATCCCATGGACTTCTTGCTGTGGCTCTCGGAGGAGCTGGAGACGAGGGACTGGGACTCGAAGCTGGCGGGCACGCAGCTTGGCTTGGGCATGAACCTCGTCTTCCTGGTCGCGCGCGCCAACTCCGGGGCGTCGTCGGAGTGGTCGGACAGCGACATCTTCAGCGACGAGGCCACGCCCGGCCTGCTTTCATACTTGGTAAGTTGTGAAGGAAGCCGTCGCAAATTGTCGCGCTTGAACCACTGACGCTCCCTGCTCTTGCGACAGACTTTCCCGATCGTTTGGGGCCTCGTACTCTTCTCTTTCGTCAACGCGGCTTACGCCATGACGCGAACGCGCAAATACCGACTCTTCGAAGCAAACATTGAACAAGCGCCGGCAACGCCCTCTGCACGACGAGTCCAGCTCCAATCATCCCCGGTGACGACATCCTCGCCGCTGCGATACCTCGCCGACAGGCTCACGTCGGATTCTGCCGAGTCGCGAGCACATCCGGATAAGAAGCGAGATGTGTGGGAACTCGCCGTATGGGACCCTCTGCCCATCTCTCTGCGGCTCGTTTGCTTGTTCAGCCCGGGGCACGTTCTGGCCTACCTCCTCTTCCTGCCGCTGGAGCCGCTTGATCCCCAGCCCAGTGTGACTGTGTTCAACACCCTCCTCCTGCAGGTGGTGCTCTCTGGACAGATGCTGTTCCTCTCCTCGCGGTTCGCGCAGCAGGCAAAAGACAACGCCATCATTCAGAAGGAAGTCATGAACGAGTACAACACCAAGTTTGTTCATCCGCGCATTCACCCCGTCGTCCGAGATGTGGGAACCCAATTTGCAGCCGAGCACACCGCCAAGGGTCGTGGCTTCGTCGAGATTGGCACACCGACAACCTTGATCAGGAAGTCATATGCTACGCGGGCCACTTCTCAAGCCAGCGCCTTTACCACCCCGTTTAACAGCCGTGTCAGTGCCATGAGGCCGCAGACTTTCAGCTCAACGGTTCCCAGGCACACGGAAGCCACTCCCACCACTTTGGACCAGCCTCGCTCTACTTCTACTTTCCGACAGAACATGACGGTCGATGATGTTTCAACTCCAACCCCAGCCCCAACTACAATGACGGCTCCCGTGCCCCTCTCGGCTACATCCGCAAACAGCACCAACTTTGGGGGTAATATGGGCATATACAGTCACAACAAGTCACCTCTCAAGAAGTCTATTAGCCTCGGCACGTTTGACGGAGCAGCCTCGCCCCGAAACTCGCGAGAGATGGCGGCGCTAGAGCAGCAGAGGCATTTAGCACAGCCCGGTAGTCCGACCAAGCATGCCGATTCGCATCGACCCTCGAGCATCAACGGCAGAGGCGTATCAAACCCCTATCCCAGCACGACGCCGAATAGGTCAGCACAGCAAGACAGGTCTATTAGGTGGTAGCCTTCTTTTTAAGTTGGCCAACATGCGACCACGCGTATGGCGCCTCCGACGCAATGAGTCATCATGTCATACAACACAGTACATCATTCGAACTTTGGGGCGATAATTCTTGTCTTTGGATCGAGTATAGTAAAGCATATCTTCGGCGTTGGGGTTTGTGTTTGTATGTGGATCTATTCAGGGGCGGGTTATGGGAACCATTGTATGAAGAACAAGGAGAGTCACCTCACTTGTATGTGATAATGCACCGTTCTTTATTCTGAAAGTCTAAAGCGAAAGAGCATGGTGCCAATTGCCATCGACAACTGCATCTTTCAGCTACGAAGTACACAAATGATCTGAGTTGATGGTTCGAGTCAACAGCCACGCGTTCTTGCCCCTGGAGTCGTGAAAGGGGCGGATCTCGCAAGCACGATGGGCTGCTCCGTTGCCTCACCTTCGTTGCCGAGGCTCATTGTTTGGTTTAGTATATTTTGACGCCAGCCTCTTTGACACATTCTGGACCTGGCAGAATGACACTCACGCAACGCATCTTTACTGCCCTCGTCTTCTTTCGGCCGTGGTCGAGGAACGATGAGCCCCTCGCGGCGGTCCCGCGGCGATTAACCATCGGTTCATGGTTATGGAGACGGCCGATATATCTAACTTCACTGACGATTTTCGCTATCATCACGCTGCACTTGATCAACAGCAAGATGTCGTATTTCTTACCGCCCAAGATCTCGGACGCGGCCCCTCGAAGATCAATATCCACGCCCCAGACATCCTCCTCACCCGCGTCCAAGAAGCAGCAGAAGCAAAAGGAGAAGCAGTCGCAGCCTCTCGCGAGAGCATCGACGGAGCCTCGACGCTCCACCTCCCTGGGAGGATGGATGAAGAACATGCTGCCGAGCCAGCGGCCGGAACGCGGCGGCACGAGCAGAGGGCAGGGGTACTGGGAGCAGATGGAGAAGGAAGGCAAGACGCGGCCTCGACGGCGCGTGACGGATAGCCAGTACAGCGTGGGGGATGTCTCGGTGGACTCGGAACACATTACGCGTTGGAACGTGCCCAAGGACCTCTCGGAGGATGGGCCGCGTGTGTTGCCCAAGACGCCGCCGCCGCTGGAGCCGAAGCAGCAACGGCGTGTTGTGGCATCCAGTTTGAGAACCCCAACGTCGCCGGTTGACAAACTGCTACCTGGGAGCTGGAGGTGGAGTCCACAGAAGGGCTCTGAGGACGATTTCTCCGTGACGAAGTTGGGAGGGGTCCTGCAGAGGGACAATGGTGATAATGATAAAGGCAGTCCATCAGGAGGTGGCGGGCCCCCTGAGCCGTGTCTAGGCACAGCTGCAAAGACTGCACCGAACGGGAAACAGCCGCTCTCACATGAAATGCTCAGGGCCAGGAGCAAGGCTCGCCGGCTTCAGCGACAGAGCTTGAAGGAGAGCGGAGACTACCTTGGCGTGCAAGGCGTCAATCCTCATACCGGAGAGCCCGACGCTCTGAGTCCAACCGATAGCAGTGCTGCAAGCATAATCAGCCATCAGGAGACTGTCCACAGCGTTATGAGTACTTGGCGAGATATGTGGAAGCACAACCGGCATCACAAACCAAAGGGCCCACCCGGTCACGATGAGCATGTCAGGGGTAACGACGCTGCCCTTTCGAGGTCTCAAAAGGGAAAGCAGAAGGTGAGAGACTTGGGCAAGGCGGTCAGGTGGAAGAGGCGCGAGTGGTCGTCGTTGCAGGAGCCGGCCTTGAGCCCCATTGCTCAGTCTGTCAAAAGTGCATCACCTAGCTCCCGTGAGTATTCTTTTTGCTTGAGCCCATTGTTTCGTCGTCTATTAATCATGGTTATTGAAAAGGGAGACCGTCTCATGCTCAACGTCCGACTCTGGCTATTCAGCAACCATCAGATGTGGCTACTGGGGAGCCGGTGCTGGGTATCACTCCTCCTCATGCCAAATCTCTCCCAACAAAAGCATCTGGCAATCACGAGACTTCGTACCCGGAGACCAGCGCCTCTCCCGCCCGCAGCTCATCCACTTCGACAGTCATCCGAACACCTCGTCGGCAGAGCCTGGCAAATCCGCCCCCTAGTATTTAGGAGTCTCAAGGAGGTCGATCTGGCCTTGACAACCAGACCCTACAAGCGAGCTCGACGCCTGACAGCCAACCCGAGACGTTGACTTTTTTAGGCATGGGAGCCGAAAGGGACATGGACACGCCGCGCACCAAGGCGAGCATGACGCTTTCGGCAAGCCAATCTATCCAGTCGACCCCAGCTTTCTACCGAGGGTTCGATCTCAGGCCCATGCTAAACGTCCCGGAGAATGTGGTTATGGCACGCAGCCCGCATTTGTGCCCGACAAAGTTAGGAGGGCCGACTCCTTTGATCCATCTCGAAGAAAGCCCGTTGGGAGCAAGGTTTCATACAGAGCCCACAAAGACACTCAAGAGGCTGGGGAGACACCGGTCAAGGGCCAACCAGAGCCCAACAAGCGATGGGCAAGCCATCGGAGCAAGAGCGGTGAAAGGCGTGAAAGGCCTGAAGACGCTGATATCAGACACGCAAAGGATACAAACAGCAACCGGCCAACCGCAGGAGAGGCCAGTCACCCCGGGGCGTTCCGCGTGCTCCCGTCACGTCCAACGACGTATCATGAAGATGGACATCAAACAGGGCATGCGAGCGCTGCGAGACGGGGTGCTAATGTCGCGCACTCAGCGGTCAGAGCAGGTTCGCCATCCACCGAAGCCAGGCAGAGCGCAACACCGACAAACGAGCAATTCCCCGCGCAAGTCTCCAGACAAGAGCAACGAGACCGAGCAGCCTGCATCCACACCCACCACCATCACTACTGGCTACAGCCACCCAGCGTCTCCCTTCGACTACCACCAGGAGGCATTGGCAGACCATCGCTGTCCACCAACAATGGCCCGGCTCGACGGCTCCAGATACAGAGCGCCAGCAGCGATGCTGTCGAAGCACAGCTCGGGAGACAATCCTACGAACCCACACATGAGGCCCGAGCAGAGTCACATCTCGTCGGCAGGAGCCATGTCGGCAGGCGAACGACAAGCAGGCATTACATATCTGGAGGAGGCGCACAAGGCAGAGTCGGCAGAGGATTGCCTGCGCAACAGGCGTTTGATCAGGCTTGCGATGCTAGCTCAGGACGACAGCTCGTTGCACAAATCAACGTTTATACAGGGGCCAACGTTACTGGCTTCGACGCCATGCAAGAGGTCATCGATTACGAGCCAAGACTTGCAGGAATTGGTGATGGGGAGAGAGTTGATGGGGACAGTCGCGAAGTTGGCAGGCGACCAAACGCAGATGCACGATCGCCTGGAGGAGCACCGGTGCCCAGAGAACCGAGACGAAGACGACACCGAAGATCGTTTGCCAAAGGACCGGAATCTCAACGAAAGTGATGCCCCGGACACGAAACCAGGGGACGTGGACAAGGCCGACTCGGAAGAGCAGAATAAAGCTACCGGCTGGGAGCGTCTTCTGGGTTGTCTTGAAGCTTGGGGTCGATTGTACTGGTCCACCGTCTGGCCGATACTGGATCCCCGAACGCTGCGAGTCGAGCACGACGGGCCGCTTCCCTTTTGGAAGGCCTGTTTGCTGATAGCGCTCGCAGTGCCGGCCGCGGCTGTTGGCTATGTGGTTGTTGTGCAGGCAGTCAGGCTTGTGGTTTTCCTAGTCTGGCTGTTGAGTTATGTGGATGATGGGGTAGCCGTCTGGGCTTAGAGATGGCTGTGGATGGCGAATTTTGTGGTGTAAAGGCTGCTTTCGGAGAGTTTTGCCGTTCTGCAGTGTTTGGATCAAGAGGACTGTCGTCGGGATAGTGTCGGCCGGAGACGTCGCGAGCCAGTCTTTAGCCATTGGTAATGAGTATCGTTATGGGTTTGGTTCTATCTGTGTCGGTCTGTCTGTGAATGTCTGTCGTGCTCTTGAGAATTGGGCATGTGTTGAAGACGATGGGAGTGGGAGTTGATGTTGTAGATTTGTCTTGTCACGCTGAGAGGCTGGAGTTCTAGAAGCATTCGGACCGTCTCCATATTGTAGATGTCAATACGGAGCAGTCCAAGGAATACCTACCTAGAAAGTACTACCTTGATGAGTGAAGTATCTCAAGGTCCATTTCGGCACAATGCCGCCGGTGCTGAGCCATTACGTACCATGGCCTGCGAGCTTCTCCATTGTGTGGTAACAGATTCCCACTTGTCGACCCCATTCAGAGCGTTCAGCCCTTGTAGTATCACGCTACAAACACTGAATCAGAGAGCTCTTTCAGTCTCCATCATATGCCCCATGCTGACTGTGTTCTGTGCAATAATCAGTATTAATATACATATAGAAACACTTTAGTTTTGAGATGAGGAGACATTGAATGACAGCTCAGCTTGTAGTAGTGCATACAGACACACGAAGCTGCACACACATGATACCTGACAAGATAGACAAGAGAACATTCTCACCCCCTGTCTTCCATCCCGCAATTATGTAACCACCCTCGCAGCCAATGACGTGCACGCATTTAGCAATCGGGCGCTGCCTCTGGCTGGCAAGTGTCGGCTTTGCCAAGGACCCAGAATGAGCGCCTAGACGGCATTTGTTCTATTTTGCGGGGGGGCAAAAAGGGAGGGTCCGCCGCCTCTTTGCAAGATTTGGCGGATTTGGATGCGAGTTTGGAGTTGCAGCTCCGATGATCGGAGAGGCGGCACCGGAGCAGGAATCGGACGAAGAGAGAGAGCATTAATAGCAGAAAAGGGAAAGCTTTTGAGAGTCGGATTCGAGGGAGACGAGATGATACATAAACAAGTCCGGCGACACTTGTCTTTTTCTTTTTCTCTTCTCTCTTCTTCTCTACTCTCTACATTTTTCTCGTTCCTTCGTGTCTACAACAATTGCGGTGGCCTTCTTATCTGCCGGCTTTTTGATTGTAAAGCGGTGAAATAATACTAGGAACCATCACCAACGGGAAGCAACTGGTTTCAGCTGAAGCTTCGGCTTTCGAGCTCCATTCCATCATCGCCTTGTCTACTGCTTATCAAGGCTTTTTTCTTGCTCCGTGGTTCCCCCTCCTTTTTTCGGGGTCCTGAAGTTCCAAAGTCTGAGAAGGGAAACGTCAACTTTTTTTCTTCCTCTTAATTCTTTGCCTCCCCGTCTTACATCTTCACTTCCTTGTCTTCCTCCCTCTTCTTCCACCAAGACACGGGACCAACAACCGCGGAACAGCAAACCATACAAAATGCCTGCTTCAGTAGGAACCCCCCAGACTCTCTACGACAAGGTTCTCTCGAGCCACATTGTCGATGAGAAGCTCGACGGCACAATTCTTCTCTACATTGGTTCGTCTCGTCTTGTGTTCTCTTCTCTTCTCTTTTTTTTTTTTTTCTTTTTTCCCTTTTTTGCTGGGGTTTGAGCGTTGTTCTGAGCTTCGGAGCTGACTTTATGGTGGGGGAAATCTAGACAGACATCTGGTCCATGAAGTGACATCACCGGTATGTCCACGCCCCCATGATTCCACACAGATCGATACGGTCTCGCTGCGAATAAAGATGGTTTTGTTCCGGATATATATATATCAGATCGACTGACGCATCGCCTGCAGCAAGCTTTCGAGGGCCTCAAGAACGCCGGCCGCCAGGTCCGCAGGCCCGACTGCACTCTGGCCACCACCGATCACGTACGTCTCCCTTTCCCAAAAGTGTTCTCTCTGGCAGGGCGCCCATATTCCAGGACCAAGGTAGCTAACGTCAGTCTGGCCTGGTAGAACGTCCCGACCACATCGCGAAAAGGCATCAAGGACATTGCCTCCTTCATCAAGGAGGAGGACTCGCGCGTGCAATGCGTCACCCTCGAGGAAAACGTCAAGGAGTTTGGCCTGACTTACTTTGGCCTGGGCGACAAGCGCCAGGGCATCGTCCATGTCATCGGCCCCGAGCAGGGCTTCACCCTCCCCGGCACCACCGTCGTCTGCGGTGACAGCCACACGTCGACACACGGCGCCTTTGGCGCCCTGGCCTTTGGCATCGGCACCAGCGAGGTCGAGCACGTGCTGGCCACGCAGTGCCTCATCACCAAGCGCAGCAAAAACATGCGCGTCCAGGTCGACGGGGAGCTCGCGCCCGGCGTCACCTCCAAGGACGTTGTCCTGCACGTCATTGGCAAGATTGGCACCGCCGGAGGCACCGGCGCCGTCATTGAGTTCTGCGGCTCCGTCATCCGCAGCCTCAGCATGGAGGCCCGCATGTCCATCTGCAACATGTCCATCGAGGGCGGCGCGCGCGCCGGCATGGTCGCCCCCGACGAGCACACCTTCGAGTACCTCAAGGGCCGGCCCCTGGCGCCCAAGTTCGGCACCGAGCAGTGGGACCGGGCCGTTGCCTACTGGAAGTCGCTGGCCTCGGACGAGGGTGCCAAGTACGACATTGACGTCTTCATCGACGCCAAGGACATTGTCCCGACCATCACCTGGGGCACCAGCCCCGAGGACGTCGTCCCCATCACCGGCAAGGTCCCCGACCCGGAGACCTTTGCCACCGAGGCCAAGAAGGCGGCCGGCCGCAGGATGCTCGAGTACATGGGCCTCACTGCCGGAACCCCCATGGAGGAGATCCAGGTCGACAAGGTCTTTATCGGATCGTGCACCAACTCCCGAATCGAGGACATGCGGGCGGCCGCCCACGTCGTCAAGGGCAAGAAGATTGCCCCCAACATCAAGCGGGCCATGGTCGTCCCTGGCTCCGGCCTCGTCAAGACGCAGGCCGAGGCCGAGGGCATCGACCAGGTCTTCATCGACGCCGGCTTCGAGTGGAGAGAGGCTGGCTGCAGCATGTGCCTGGGCATGAACCCTGACATTCTGTCGCCCGGAGAGCGCTGCGCCAGTACCTCGAACCGCAACTTTGAGGGCCGTCAGGGAGCGGGCGGACGGACTCACCTCATGTCCCCCGTCATGGCTGCCGCTGCTGCCATCACCGGCAGGCTGACTGATGTCCGCAAGCTGGCCGAGTACACCACCAGCCCTCACGTCCAGGCTCGTGTCGGCCCCAGCGCACCCGTGGAGCCGCCTCACGTCGACGAGCGCGTCGAGGAGGATTCCGACGAGCGAGAGGCCATTGCCGATCAGCCCCTGGATCGCGAGCCGCACACCAACACCATTGCAGCCAAGATGGAGTCCGCCGGCATGCCCAAGTTTGAGACGCTCAAGGGCATCGCGGCGCCCATGGAGCTGGCCAACGTTGACACCGACGCCATCATCCCCAAGCAGTTTCTCAAGACCATCAAGCGAACCGGCTTGGGATCGGCCCTCTTCCACAACCTGCGCTATCTCCCCGACGGCTCCGAGAACCCCGACTTTGTCCTGAACAAGGAGCCCTACCGAAGGTCCAAGATCCTGGTCTGCACCGGCCCCAACTTTGGCTGCGGCTCGTCGCGAGAGCACGCCCCCTGGGCTCTGCTCGACTTTGGCATCAAGAGTGTGATTGCGCCGTCGTTTGCCGACATTTTCAACAACAACATGTTCAAGAACGGCATGCTGCCCATTCAAATCTCCAACAAGGAGCACCTCGACGCCATCGCCGCCGAGGCCCGCGCCGGACGAGAGATTGAGATTGATCTGCCCAACCAGCTGATCAAGAACGAGGCCGGCGAGACCATTTGCTCTTTTGACGTGGAGGAGTTTCGGAAACACTGCCTGGTGAACGGCCTGGACGACATTGGCCTGACGATGCAGCTCAATGACAAGATTGTCGAGTTTGAGAAGAAGAGGAGCATCCACACGCCTTGGTTGGACGGCACGGCGTATCTGAAGCGCGGCAAGGATGGCAGACTGGCTGCCAAGGCGGTTCCTGTGCCCAAGACGAATCGCGGTGAGGAGAAGAAGGAGCCTCTGGAGTGGTGATTTTTTTCACTTTCTCCTTCGGAGGGGTTTTTTGTCATTTGAAGTTGCTGTCCATGTTGTTTTGTCTTTTTGATTTTTCTATGATATCTCAGGGACTAACTAGTATTTACGCCGAGTCTTATCATTAAAAGCCCAGTGCGGGTTGATAGGCGATTGGGATGATATGATGATGGGTATGGACTAAAACATGGTCATACCGGCCGAGGGCCATGAAATGAAAAGCATTGCGTCGATTGTGCGCTTCTATACAATTCAGTTGTTGTTCTTTTTCAACAAGCTCGCTCGCTAAAATGATGTACTATCTCTCAGTCCAAGTAAGGTACGGTAGAGATGACCATGCCCGTATCAACCAAACCTCTGTATGTACATCAGCCAAGTCATGGTAGCATCAGAGATACAGAACGATCAGAAGGAATCCTTGAGAATGCCAATATGCACCACAAAGCCCGCTTCGGGCCTCAACTCTCGAGGCATCCTCTCCCCCGGCACCCTCCACACGCGAAAATGTTCCCGAAAGGCCGTCAGCCAGGTATTAAAGACGTCGTCGTTGCGCAGCTGCTGCGCGACGATGCACAAGCACGAACGAAGATTATTCTCATCATCATCAGCAGCAGCAGCAGCAGAGGCGTCTTGTTGTTGTTGTTGTTGTTGGTTTCGTAAGTTAATGTCTTTGTTGCGAAGGGCGCAGATGTCGACGCAGGTTTGGACGAATGGCTGGATGAGGGCGTAGTTGTACACGCAGTCGCAGGAGACGAGGGCGTCGAAGGAGGATGTTGTGCGGGAGTGGGTGAGGGCGGGTGTTACTTGGGAGGTTTCCCAGTCGAGGACTTCAAAGTGGATGTCTGCCGTTGTTGTTGCTGTGTTGCTTGGATGAAGGGGGGTTGATGATGATGATGGGGGAGAAGGGGTTTTTGGTGGTGCTGTGCTTTTCTTAGATCTGCTGGGATGGGCCTTCTTGGATGATGATGAAGAGGAGGGTTTGGAGGAGGAGGAGGAGGGGAGGTTTGCGGCGAGGTTTTGGAGGAGGAGTTTTTGGACGTAGGGCTGATCCGTGAGAATGTAGCGGGCTGCGAGATGGGAGAGGGAGAGGGCGTTGAGGGGGGAGATGCCGCAGCCTAATTCGACGATGGATGATTTTGCGAGGATGGGGGTGAGTGGGTTTGAGGGGGAGGAGAGCCACTCTGCGAAGAGGGGGGTGATTTTCCAAATGACTTTAATACATATACATATATATATATATTCACTGTTAGCTAACATAGACTCGGGAGAAGTTGTGGGTTGGTAGATAGGTTGTGAATTTTGAGGGAGAAGGGAGAGAGGATGAGAGGTGATGGTTGGGGGGGGGACAGGGGGAGGAGGAGGGGAACTGACCTGCGCCTGTGGTGCCGCCTTTTCGACTCGATGCGAGGATGCCGGGGGATTGATGAATAGTCACGTCCTTTCCGTTGAGCTGGATCTCTACTGTGGAAGACTGGGGGTCGATGAAGCCCAGGTTTTCGAGGGGCGGGTTGTTGGCGTAGAGGAGGAATGTCTCTATAAAGGAGGGGGGGAAGAAGTCAGTTCTATATCTGTTGCAGGGACCACGTATGGAGAATAATCATGTGGCAAGGATAAAGTTTAGAGTGCAATGTACCTTCGTCGGGGTCTTGGATCTCATCTTCGAGATTGGAGAGAAGGTCCTGGAGGGAGTTGGCCATTGATGTTTTGTTATCTTCTCTTGTGTGTGTGTCTCGCGTATGTGTAGGTATATATCGTGTGCATCGGACGAGGTTCTTTCTCCTGCAAGAGTTTGAAAGAAGAATAAAGACGAGAGTAACAGAAATTCAGCTAGTGAAAACGCCGAGTACACCCACCACTGCTTTTGCTCAAAATGTCAAAACAAGCACAATGGACAAGTCTCGTATCAGTGAGGCAATGATGTCGTGGGTTATTATTTCCTCAATCACCCTCGGATGACCAAAAAAATGCTAGAACCTAAGGTATACAGCCCAAAATCCACTCCCCTACAGGGTAGGTAGGGTAAGTCAGCTTTTTGCTACAATTTAGGTAGGTAGAGGAAAAAAGAACGACGAGTCTCCACTTTATGCCCATCTGCTCACAAATTGGAACGATATAGACTGTCGCGGCTGCATGGCATGTCAGATCCTTATCATATTAGAGGTGACCTCTTGTTTGATTCAAACCCTTGAGACTGGCTATTACGGATGTACCGGAAGAGATATCAACCTAATCTGTATAGGTACAGAGGATACATACATACAGCCGTGACTACCTGAGGTAGCAAACACCACCTGGACGAGTTATCCAGAGTCCATCATCTCCAGCTCCTTTCTATAAGCCAAAAATCTACAAGGCACGAATGAGGCTGTGTAGCCGTCACGCAACCAGGCAGAGTAAAAAATGTCAATATCATATACCAAACTGCCTGATTCGCCGTCGTGCACAGCCCCTCCACCAAAGAAAAACGTCATGAGCAAGAATAGGTAGGCCCTCGAGGAAACGGGGTAACGATACAAGCGGGAAAACAAGCAACCTGCTGTTCTTTGTGGGCAAAACATACAAGAGAGCTTTCCCCCAAAAGTACCAGTCGCCTAGACCACCGACCAAAAAAAAAGACAGAAACAGGAAACAGAAGCTCGACAAAGGGAACGAAACAGCACCCGGGGGACAGTTACACCAGCCCGTCGTATAAAGACAGCGCCGAGACAATCGTCTCGTCTCGTTTGCTTCCCTCCTTGAACTCCTCCATGTCCAGGCTGCCGTTCTCGTCCTTGTCCATCATGCGAAAGATCTTCTTAACACGCTTCTCGGGTGTATCCTCGTCTTCGGGTAGTTTAACCATGGAGCCGACCTGTGAAATCATTAGCCCACTGCAAAGCACCCGCCGGGCCTGTTGATTGCGCACCATCTTGTAGATTGCCTCTACAATCTGAAGCATCTCGTCGTAACTGATCTTGCCGTCGCCGTCAATGTCGTACAGCTGAAACGCCCAGTCCAGCTTGTCCTCCATCTTGCCCCGGCTGGTGACGCTCAGTGCGCAGATAAACTCCTTAAAGTCGATGCTACCAGACTTGTCGCTATCGAACACGTTGAATACATAGTCGGCAAACGAACTCGGGTCTCCAAATGGGAAAAACTGCCGGTAGATCTTCTGAAACTCCTCTTTGGAGAGCATGCCCGAGGGGCAATCTTTCAAGAAGCCTGCACGAGAACCTTGACGTTAGAACCCGCTTGAAGCTTTTTTCTTTGGTTTTCTCATCTTGTGACGACGCATGAGGGGCTTCCCATCATGCCGCCTGAATGCAGACGAGATTGAGGGAATGAGGGGTTCAAGCATTCTGCACCCCCCCTGTCTCGGGTCCGGGAGTTGCTCACCTTTGTACCACTGCTGCAACTCCTTCTTATCAAAATGAGTCGACTTCTGCAGCTCGGCGAGCTGCTCCTGCGAGAGTTTTGACTGCCTATAATCGTGAAGCACAAGCAAATGTCAGCCTCGGCATGCGTACAGCCCGTTCCCCTTGTTGATGTGCCTGTGCCAGTCAACTCCGCCGGCGGCCAGCACATGTCCATGGCCAGCCTCCCCTTGCTCTCCCCCTCCCCCTCTTTCCATGCCAATGCATGCTCGTGCGGTTCCTCTTCCTCGGCAACATGCAAACTCAGAGACTTGTAAGGGGTTTTCGCGCAGGCCCACTCACGATTTGCCCATGATATTCTTGGGCCGGTAGAAGAGAGGATTTGAACGGATCGGAACAGGAGACGCCGCTTGAGTTTTCGGGAGAAATGGCGGGATTGGCGAAAGGGCGGCTACTTCCGCGGAGGTAGAGGATATCACGAGAGGCGCCGCGGTGAGGCTATCGAGTAAAATCCGAGGTCGCGGGTGAAATATTGCGCAATCGACCGACGGCGGTGTATCTCGTCACAATTCGGCGCTGGACAGGGAGCCAAAACAAAGATCGCCAATGCGCTCGTTCTCGTGCTCGCGCTCGTACTGGTGCTTCGTCAGAGAGCTCGCCGTCGCTCGTCTCGGGGCGTCAGTCGTCGTAATGGCTTCGAGACCTCAAGGCTGCCAGCAAGCATGAGTACAAGTCCGGGCAAGATGCAGAACAGCAGGCCCAGCAAGGAAGGGCAGAAGGGCGAGGATCGATAGACCCAAACGGTGCCGAGAATCTGAGTCTGCAGGGACAAAGAAGGAGGCAGAGAGGGAACAAACTGGTCTGGGAGGCAGTACAAGTAGATGCGGCGGGTTGCACGGGGCAGAAGAAAGAGAGCCAAGGTACGACGGCGGATATGCTCCCAACAAACGGAACGCGAACGCCCACAGCAAGGATGGAAAACTGGTCTAAAAACGGCTTCTTTTTTCGGCACAGCGTAGCCAAGAGACGTGGCTGACAGTGTCAGAGGCGAGGCAAGCAGAAAAGGAAGAAAAAGGGCCGCGGTCTGGAGGCGCGAATCGGAGCCAGAGGCGGGACGATGATGGCAAGTTTGGTAGCAGATAAATTGGCGATGATGGGGGAAAGCGGAGGGACTCGGTACGACCAGACAGAGGGGACCAAGCTGTGGCTTAGCAGGAGCAGACACACAGAGGAGGGGCCACCGTATGACGCCTGGCTGGCTGTTTCTTGGTTCCGGGTCCAAGTGAGCCGCATAGCCCACCCGCTAGGGGGAGGGGCTTCAGAGGCCTTTAGGGAGGTCTTTTAGGGGCCGTTGATGCTGAACAAGCCTGCTGGCGCGCTGACAAACGCTGAAGCACCCGCCTGGAGGCCCCCCCGGAGGCTGTTCCAAGGTTAGTAGCGGGGTTTGGGCAGCGCGCACCTCGACCTGGAGTCGCTCGGATCGGAGCCTTCAGACCCGAGAAGTGGCAGCCCGACCGGTCAAGTTAAGAGGAAACTGCGTCCACCGCTACCTACCTACGACTGAGGAGCCGCAGGGGGGAGGGACGGAGGGAGGGAGACCAGTCTGACAACAAATGCATGCTGTCGAGACAGATGACAAGTGATGCGGATAATGAATGAATGCCGTGCAAAAAGGAAAAGAAACGGGAAAAAGGAAAAAAGATGGGGCTTCACCGGGATTCGAACCCGGGGCCTCCTGCAAAGGCGATTCTGAAGAATCGGGGACTTCAGGTGTTTTCCCGAAGCAGGAATCATACCACTAGACCATGAAGCCAGTTGTAGACTTGAACCCATCGCTGGTTGCAAAGCGGGGAAAGTAATCTGCCTTATATAGCCAATCTCTCCCACTTGACGCAGGCCGCGGATTGGCTGTCTGTAATGCCTTATGCACCCTCTGCTTTAGATGGTTTACCTAACCTGCAACAAGATGCGAATGCTCTTGCCTTGGCTCAACATCAGATACAACGCGTCAAGAAAGTTACAAGAAGTGTTGAAGCTCTACCAATGGTCAGCAACGTTTGTTGTTGAGTATTTCCTGCTCATCAGGCATTTATCGAGCCCTGGCATGGTTTGACCGCTGGACTGGTCGCTTTTCATCCAACATCATAGCAAATCTTTATGGTATACAGAGTGCATTTTCATCGCCATGCTGCATCATCTGAGCCTTCCCTCTCTCCGCTCTGCTCAGTCATCCGGAACCGGCGTACCCGGCAAACGCGTCACGCGGAAACCTTCGGGCTTGTTCAGCACCAGCCTCTCAAAGCTCTCACCCAAGTCGCGCTCGTGCTCCTTTGAGGCTACAAAGCCAGCCGGGGACATAGATCTCGACAGCGACGAGGATGATGCGAAGCCTCGCCAGCCGTCGAAACTCACCCCCATAGGCTCCGAGGAAGAACCGCACAATGCTGCTCGATCCAACATGGGCGCCAAGCCCTGGCACCAATCTACCCTGCTGCCGGCGCCGAGGAAGGGAAACCCTATTCATAGCCGATAGTGGAAGGACTATCGAGCGTTTCCGTCCCTTCGCAAGAGCAAAGATGAGGTTGACGATAGCCCGGACTCTTCCGCCTCTGGCAGCCGCTCCGAGTCTTCGCCCGGGATCTCGTCCGAGAGCAGCGAGCACTTCCAAGGGTTGATGGGCGATCTCAAGCTCGATGCCTTTGACTCGGACGCCTCGATTTTAGGGGACTTTGACCGTCACCATCGGACAACTTCCTCCTCGTATCCCTCTCACGGGAAAGCTTCTACTCGAATTCAGTCGCCAGAGTCAATGTACCGCCCCAACAGGCTCAGTTTTACCAACCTATCACGCTACGGCAGGGCCAATGACCGACTATCGAACCTCCGGTCAACTCTGGCCTCAGATGAAAGCTACGACGTGACCATGAACACCACCGTCTCCGACGTCTTGACAGAGGCCGACACCGCCATCGCCGAGTGGCAGGACCACCAGCAGCTTCGGCCAGCAGAAGCCTCACTCCACAGAATCCCGCTCTTGGAGAGCACGGAGATCCTCCCCGGCGATTCTGCCTCCCAGCAGCCGAGCCCCTCCGGAGGGCATCTACCATGTGCCAGTCCCGGCTCAGCGACTGGCAGATTGACTTGGCGGAGCGGCAGTCCCATGAAGAATCAGTACGATGGCATTCACGAAGCGAACAATCGGCACCAGAGCCCCGATTCTACCAGGCAGCCGCCGTGCACGCCCGCGAACCAGAACCCGCAAAGGCCGTCGAAGCGGAAAGCCTCCGTCTTCTCCCTCCGCAGCCGTACGGGCTCCATATCCAAGCACCGCAAGTTTGGTCTGCGCCAATGGGCCAGCAGCGTCTATCAGCAAGGGAGCAAGAGGCTTGCTACCCGGCTCAAGTGGATACGCCCGGCTCGGCGGGATCGGGGGCTGTTTGAATCGTGGAGAATGCGCCATCGCGGGACAAGCCAGGAGCCATCGTCTCCCTGCAGAGAAAAGGCCGAGAGGACGGCTGAGCACAGGGTTTGTCCCACTGCGGGCTGGTGGGATGAAGGGGTGAGTCGGTTCCAGGCGCCCGACTACATGAATTTCTAGAGGTGGCGTTCTAGCTTCATTTTGACGGGGATGCAGCTCGTTTCGTGGTTGATGGTGGACTTGGAGTGGGATAGATGCCGGTCTATATCGCTGCTCTCGGTTCATCACATGCACACGCGGAGAAGCAGTGAATTGAGTAGAGACAGGATTCGAATAGCACTAGGATGCTGTCATAGAATGGTATCATTATCAAACGTGCAGGCTTGCTGTCTACATTATTCCTCTTTGTGTTCGTATCCAATAATAGCAGGGGGTAGTGATACACATGTTTTGCTTACGCCGGAGCTACATGTCCGATGGGAACAGCAACAACACTATGCGTGAGCCGCATTTCGCGAGCTCAATGAGACGATAAACTCGATAATCATGGACGTCAGGATGCATTCGACCCCAATGTTGGAAGCGAAATGCTCCCTGATAGGAAAGTCACGAGGTGAGAGCGGACGGTTTCGTGGAGCCGTTGCCAAAGCCATCACGATTCGCCTCACCCGCCGCTGTGGAGCTTACTAAATCGCAGTTTGTCGCGTCTTTCCGGACCTGTTGCAGCGTTGCCATCGTCCAACTCCGTCAGATATCACCTGAGAAGCTTTAACCGAGCTTTGAACATGGCTGCTTTAACCCGTATGGCCCCGAACCATCTGGCCATTTCTGTGTGATTTACTCTGGAGAGCTCCTTGGCTTGAGTGCGTGATGAGGAGGCTATGATGTAAACGAAAAAGGTGATAGGGGCAATATGGAAGGTAGGAGAAAGAGCTTGGGGATCGGATCTGACAAGACAAGGTTCACTTGTGGATGTTGGTGCTTGCAAAGGAGCTTGGGGTTGCCTGGTGAGGCAAATTTACGAACGGGAGAGAAGCTTGAGGTAAGAGTTTCAGTCTGACGGTTTGTAGGTACTGTGATCGACAGAGTATTCGCGACGGTTCACATTCGCATCGGCTAAGTCTAAAGTGACAAAAGGTGATTGATTGCTCGAACCTCGGTCTTGCTCGGTGAAGCTCGTGTCGAGGCCGAGAAACGTCCCATTTCTGCGTGATTAGGTCATGCTGCTCGATCGCGATCATTCCGATCATTCGAGCAAGCAGCTTGCAGCTCAGCATCACTGGGCGACGGCGCATCCAGTAGGAAGCCGTGGACAAAGATGGATCGAGCAATATCAGCCAATTGCAGCCGCAGTGGCCCCCCGGGTGTGGCTAGTTGCTCGGTAAGGTAACTGGTGGGAAATGGTGGCTGAGCTGACCGTGGAGCCCAATGGCATGAAAGCTCCGGGTTTCTGCGACTCAGAATCTGGGTACCTGAGGCAGGCAAATCAGCTGTTTTGACGCCTGAGCTGACCAGGCAGGTACGAGTGGTTAGGTACTGTAATTGCAATACCCACGCCGGAAGCTGTCCAGCACCTTCTGGCGGCTTGTGGTGCTTCATGGTGGGGCAGCTGTGTACCTACTACCGGTGCACAGCAGCTGCAGTGTATGGGTGCACGAGGTACTGGAGACCCCGCCACTGCCCCGCGATGCAGTTTTTTTCCTTCTTTGTCGCCTTGAGAGCTGGAGGGGAGATGACATCAAAGAGAGGGGAATCATGAGGGGTGAAGGAGGAAGGAGCCGCGAATTGGAGGTACCTGCGAGTAAGTACCAGGAGGAATTGGGAAGCAATTGATGGAAGCTTCTCATGGGTAAGGCAAAGGTCAGGTCAGGCGAGGTACCTGTAGCTACGATAGCAAGCAAAACAAAGAACTAGACAACGGTAGTACCTAGTAAACAAAGAAGGGAAAAAAAAACAAGCAGATGCAATGGCGGGGCAGCAGCGCAGCTGAAGCCATCATCAGGCACTGATGCCCCGCCGGAAAGGAAAGCACACAGAAGCTCAAGGCACGCAAAAATGCCAGCAAAAAGCCCAGAGAGACAAAGAAAGAACGAAGGCGAAAGGCAAAACGCGCAGGGGAGGGGCTTCCAGCTGCTTCGGCGCCTGGCCTAGGCGTTTGCAGTGCCTACCAGAGGCTTCTGTTGTGCCCCTGCAGGCGGCCGGTGTGGGCACCCTTGGAACAGTGTAGAACCGCATCGAATCTCCATCCCGCTTTATTTAGACGCTGCGAGCAGACCGAGCTGCACCAGATCTTTTCTCTCCAGAACATACTCATCCACAACAAACAATCATCACACGCACACTTCACTTCTCCTACACACTCTTCACACGCTTTTTCCTTTTTTTCCTTTTTTTCTAGTTCTCACACACACATCACACACACACAATGGCTGCTAGTATGGGACCAGCCGTCGGTATCGACCTGGGTACTACCTACTCATGCGTCGGTATCTTCCGTGAGGACCGATGTGATATCATCGCCAACGACCAGGGTAACCGAACGACGCCCTCGTTCGTTGCCTTCACCGACACCGAGCGTCTGATTGGTGATGCCGCCAAGAACCAGGTCGCCATGAACCCCCAGAACACCGTCTTCGACGCCAAGCGGTTGATTGGCCGCAAGTTCGCCGACCCTGAGGTCCAGGCCGACATGAAGCACTTCCCCTTCAAGGTCATCGACAAGAACTCCAAGCCCGTCATCGAGGTTGAGTTCAAGGGCGAGAAGAAGACCTTCACCCCCGAGGAGATCTCCTCCATGGTCCTGACCAAGATGCGTGAGACCGCCGAGGCCTACCTTGGTACCACCGTCAACAACGCCGTCATCACCGTCCCCGCCTACTTCAACGACAGCCAGCGTCAGGCTACCAAGGACGCCGGTCTCATTGCCGGCCTCAACGTCCTGCGTATCATCAACGAGCCCACCGCCGCTGCCATCGCCTACGGCCTTGACAAGAAGGTCGAGGGCGAGCGCAACGTGCTCATCTTCGATCTCGGTGGTGGTACCTTCGATGTGTCCCTCCTGACCATTGAGGAGGGTATCTTCGAGGTCAAGTCCACTGCCGGTGACACTCACTTGGGTGGTGAGGACTTCGACAACCGTCTGGTCAACCACTTCGTCAACGAGTTCAAGCGCAAGCACAAGAAGGTTAGTAGCAGCACCCATGTTGCCCCCCACTCTTTAGACGCACGGCATATGCTAACTCCCGACCAGGATCTGTCCACCAACGCTCGTGCTCTCCGCCGTCTCCGCACTGCCTGCGAGCGTGCTAAGCGAACTCTGTCTTCGTCTGCCCAGACCTCGATTGAGATCGACTCCCTGTACGAGGGTATCGACTACTACACCTCCATCACTCGTGCCCGTTTCGAGGAGCTGTGCCAGGATCTCTTCCGATCCACCATCCAGCCCGTCGACCGTGTCCTTGCCGATGCCAAGATCGACAAGTCTCAGGTCCACGAGATCGTCCTCGTCGGTGGCTCCACCCGTATTCCCCGCATCCAGAAGCTCATCACCGACTACTTCAACGGCAAGGAGCCCAACAAGTCCATCAACCCCGATGAGGCTGTCGCCTACGGTGCCGCCGTCCAGGCCGCCATCCTGTCTGGTGACACCACTTCCAAGTCCACCAACGAGATCCTGCTTCTCGATGTCGCTCCCCTGTCTCTCGGTATCGAGACTGCTGGTGGCATGATGACCAAGCTCATCCCCCGCAACACCACCATCCCCACCAAGAAGTCCGAGGTCTTCTCCACCTTCTCCGACAACCAGCCTGGTGTGCTCATCCAGGTCTACGAGGGTGAGCGCCAGCGCACCAAGGACAACAACCTGCTCGGCAAGTTCGAGCTTACCGGCATCCCCCCTGCGCCTCGTGGTGTTCCCCAGATCGAGGTCACCTTCGACGTTGATGCCAACGGTATCATGAACGTCTCTGCCGTCGAGAAGGGCACTGGCAAGTCCAACAAGATTGTCATCACCAACGACAAGGGCCGCCTGTCCAAGGAGGAGATTGAGCGCATGCTGTCTGACGCCGAGAAGTACAAGGAGGAGGACGAGGCTGAGGCCAAGCGTGTCAGCGCCAAGAACGGCCTCGAGTCGTACGCCTACTCTCTCCGCAACACCCTCAACGACCCCAAGGTCGATGAGAAGATTGAGGCCGCCGACAAGGAGACGCTCAAGTCTGAGATTGACAAGATCGTCCAGTGGCTCGATGACAACCAGCAGGCCTCTACTGAGGAGTACGAGTCTCACCAGAAGGAGCTTGAGGGTGTCGCCAACCCCATCATGATGAAGTTCTACGGAGCTGGTGGTGAGGGTGGCATGCCCGGTGGCATGCCCGGCGGTGCCGGTGGCTTCCCTGGCGCTGGCGGCGCTCCTCACCAGGGTGGCGATGACGGCCCTACCGTCGAGGAGGTCGACTAAATGCACAACAAGCCCTTTTGATACCCCAAACATCATCAGACTTGAGCCTCAAGCTTGGTAACGCGTCTACGATGTGTGGAGGCCTACTCTAGGGGATCAAGGCATGATGCATGATTAAATTCTTTCCTTTGTTCTCATTTGCTTTTTCCGCACTAGCATTTCACGGATATGAAGGGTAAAAAAGCTGGGCGGGTTGGCCCTGGTTTTGTACTTTAATGAGTTTTACGTTTTTAAGGGAACCAATACATCAATGGTTTAATTAATCAAGACTGTCTGACTGGTGACTGTGAAGTTAAAGTGACTGTGAATTTATATCATTGACTATATGGAGTAAGTCAATGGTTAACCCTTTTCAAGATTGTCTGACTGGTGATCTTGATGTAAACGATATGACTATGGAGGAGAGATGTTCAATTGCAGCAAGATAATGAACATGATACAAATATTTGTATGTTTCACATGTTGTAACTTGTCCAGCGACGAACTCATTTCTTAACAGCTCTCTAATTCGTCTCTCCACGGCATATCCATATCCTCTCGTATCCATCGTGAACATCCTGCTTAGCCTTCACTCTCGGACGCTTATTTTTCATCTGCCGCGATCTATCCTAATTCGCTGTACCGTTGTGTAAACTATCCTCATTTCTCTTTTTCAAATCCCAGATCCTGCCGTATCTTCTTCCTCCTCTCTTCCTCCAACTTCCTCCACTCGTCATCGTCCACAGTCGCAATCTCGACGGCCTCGGCAAACGCGGTCCCGGGCTCGACCTTGCGCTCCCTGGCCTCCCAGACGTCCTCGCTGCTGCGGGCGCCCGGGGCGTAGTATTTCTCGTACTCCTTGCGGCGGTAGTGGTCGCGGATGGCCCTCTCCTTGAGCGGGCCCGAGTAGGACTTTGTGCGCATGCAGAACCAGAAGTCGTCCCAGAGGTGGGAGCAGGAGCGCATCTCGCCGTGGCGGTAGACGGCGTTCCACTGGCCACCGAGGGAGTTGCAGGACCAGGCGAGGTCGAAGGCCTGGCGGCAGGACATGTCGGTGGGGAGGAGGGATTCGGCGACGGGGGAGAGGGGCGGGATGGGGGGTTGTTGTTGGTCTGGGTTGGTGGTGGATGATTTTGAGGAGAGCCATTTTGAGAGGAGGGATGGTGATGATGATGAGGTTGAAGAGGAGGAGGAGGAGGAGGGTTGAGGGGTGGAGTCGTCGGATTTGTTGAAGATGTCGAGGAGTTTCTGGATCTCGGGGTCGACGGGCTCGTTGGGAGCTTGGGAGGTAGTGGGTGTTGATGGTGGGATTGATGGCTGGGGAGGCGTTGATGAGGATGTCTGTGATGGTGAGGCGGTTGACGATTGGTCGGTCGGTGGCTTGGAGGGTGGTGATGTCCAGAGCCAGCCCATTGTGAGGCTATTCGCGGTGCGATGGATGTAGATGCGGGTGGGTTGATGTAGATGAGCTTCGTCAGAGGATTCAGTCGGTCCTCGGGAGTCTGTACTGCGGCTCTTCTGTGAAAGGAACCTCGGTATCTGTGCAGGTGAATCGATTGGACGTAGTTGGTGCTGTAATTGTTCGAGCAGTTTATGGCAATCGACTGCTTTCTTGCAATTCTGACGCTCAATCCTATGGCCTCATCTTTTTCGGCTTATCGAAGTTGACGGATAAGTCTGGTTGCGCCTCGGTCGGGAAAAACATCTTGTCCGAAACGCTTTGGGCCTTTCCCTTTTTGGAAATCTGTAGAAGAAGCTGGGATTGATCTGCTTGCTATGACCTCATTGGCCGTCGAGCCATTCAGCTAGCTCGTCATGCTATGAGAGAGCTCGACAACAAGGCGAGACTTTTTATTGCCTCTCCTCATATTGTTCCTTTAGAGCAGAGATATGTGCCGTAATTGTGGTCAAGAGCTGTCATGATTCCCTCGCGAAGCCTTGCGTTGCTGGCGGCGCGGTCCGGCGGCTCTCGAGCGCTGCGGTTATGGCCTGGAGTTGGCAGAGCGACAGCAACGAGACGGAGTGATTATGGGCTGATGAGGTATCGAGCTGGGCAGAGGATATGGGAGACGACCTCGGCTATACCCTTGAGCGATGGCGATCTTGAGGGCAAGCAGAAGGACTTGTCGCCTGCTGAGGAGCAGGAGAGCGGGCGATTCGATGTCAAGGCCAACGAGTCGATTCTCTTTTTCGACAGTGAGACAGTCCTGCTTGCAACTGATGATGTGGTTCCTTGGGGCTAATGGATTGTTCCTATGTAGACTTGTTTCCGCTCAAGCTAACCCCGGTGCTGAGTCTGCTGAGTCGACGGACGGAGACGGACCAGCAGCTGACGGATCTGCTCCAGCGGTTCAACAGCTCGTCTCTGGGCATCATGGATCCGATCCAGCTGGTCAAGAGGGCTATACCGGGCAACTTGCCCATCAAGGTGACGGAGATTATGCCGCGGCTCAAGGACGGAGGAGCGTTTGTCAAGTTTGAGTACGATCCCAGTTTGAGTGCATCCGAGATTGAAGGTGAGTGAACGGCCGACTCATACTGCTATGGGGGTTGATGCTGACTGTTGGCTAGCCAAGCTTTTGAAGAAGTTGAGGGAAGAGCCGATCAAGCCGTGGTTCAACCCCTTTGGTAGGATTCGAGCTCGTCTTGTTCGAGGTGTCCCCTGGCTCGAGGATTTGCACCGATACCCGTCGACCCTGCTCATGGTGGAATTCGTTCCCCCTGAACCAGGCGCTTCTGCAGCGGAACTTCCCGAAGAAGTTCTCTACAGCCTGTTTCGCCGATACGGAAAGATTGCGGACATCATCCCCCAGCCGGCCGATTCCAAAGTTACACCGAGATATGCCCAAATCGGCTTCCCTGTGCTTCGTGATGCCATCATGGCGCGGAATTGCCTCCACGGCTTCGTCCTGGGCGAGGCTCAGGGAGGCGGCAAGACTGGCACCAAGTTGCGGCTTTCTTACGTGAAGCGTGAAAAGGGACACAGCATCTGGAACTGGATCACGTCGCATCCTCGAATCGTCATTCCAATTGTGGCTGCGCTCATTGCGGGCGTCTCCGTCGTCATTTTTGACCCCATACGGCTCTTCTTCATCAAGATGCATGTGCAGCACTCCCTGCGCTACACCGACTGGAGGATATATAAGTGGTTCAAGTCGCAAACTGGGAGCTTCTCCTTTCACAAGACGCAGGAGCATATCGAAGGTCTCGGCACAATATGGAAGCATCGCAAAGATCTGATTGAGCAGCTGCAGAGCTGGCTTGACGGCAGTTCGGATACGTTCATTGTCGTCACCGGCCCACGAGGATCCGGAAAGGCAGAGATGGTCATGAGCCAAGCCCTGAGCGGACGCAAAAACGTCCTTCTCATCGACTGTAAGCCAATTACGGAGGCGAATGGCGAGGCTCTTACCATCAGGAGACTGGCGACGGCGGTTGGATACCGGCCGGTCTTCTCTTGGGCCAACAGTATCAGCAGCATGGTGGATCTGGCAATCCAGGGCACGACGGGCGTCAAGTCTGGCTTCTCCGAGACTCTGGAATCGCAGCTGAACAAGATTCTGCACACCACTGCCACGGCTCTGAAGACTGTCGCTCTCTCTGAGCGGAGCAAGGCGGACAAGGATGCAAACCTCTCTGAGGACGCGTACTTGGAGGCGCATCCCGAGCGCCGGCCCGTCATCGTCGTCGACAACTTCCTCCACAAGAGCGAGGACTCGAGCATCGTGTATGACATGATTGCCAATTGGGCCGCTTCGATTGTACAGAACAACGTGGCCCATGTCGTATTCCTCACCAGCGACTCCGCTTACTCAAAGTCTCTCACCAAGGCCATGCCCGACAGGGTCTTCCGCACCCTGTCTCTGGGCGATCTGGATGCCGACATTGCAAAGAATTTTGTCATTACGCGCTTGGAGGAGGATTGGAAGCGTGAGGCGCAGGAGGAAGCAGAGCAAAGCGATGAGAACAAGAAGCCCATCCCACGACCGAACTTGGCAGGACTGGATGAGGGCATCAAGGTCCTCGGCGGCCGTCTGACGGATCTCGAGTTTCTGGCACGGCGACTCAGGGCGGGACAGACGCCTCGGGAGGCAGTTGAGGAAATCGTCTCTGAGGACGCCACTGACATTGTCAAGATGTATCTGCTTGGGCGGACCGCCGACGCGGACAGGAAGTGGTCGACCGAGCAGGCCTGGCATCTGATCAAGGCCCTTTCCCAGAGCCCAACCCTGCGGTACCACCAGGTCCTTCTCTCGCCAACTTTTGCCTCGTCACTGTCATCCAACGCGACAAACGGCGAGGCGGCTCTCGAGAGCCTGGCCGGTGCGGAGCTCATCACCGTCGGGACGCACCAGGGCCGGCCCCAGACGATTACGGCCGGCAAGCCGCTGCACCAGGCGGCGTTTGGGGTGCTCGTCAAGGACCGGGTGCTGCGCGCAAAGATGGACCTGGCGGTCCTCAACGAGATGGCCAAGGTGGAGGCCAAGAACATTGATGCCGTGGAGAAGGAGCTGCAGCTGCTGGGCGGGCTGCCGCGGCACACGGGAGAGTCGGCGGGCAGAGTCATGTACTTGCTGGGGAAGCTGGATGCGGGACAGAGGAAGATTGCGCAGCTGGAGAGGGAGATGGGTGGGTTGAAGAAGATCCTGAATGAGGAGTTTTGAGGGGCGTTTTGAGTATAGGGGGGGCTTTGTATGATAGGATCGGGATGTTGGTGCCCGGGCATCTATGTGTATTCTCAGCACAAATTTATGATTTTCGTCATGGACTGATTGAAATGTACGCTTGAGTGATTCGCTTGGCCTTGACTATCCATTAAAGCCTGGTCGGTCGTCTTGAATATACATGAGAGTTGCAAGACATTTCAACCCCACAAGAAGACACAACCACATGCAACACCCAACGCAAATCACCCAACCTCACGTGCAAAGACATTAATACATATGAAGAGAAGAGAGAAAGATTGAAGGAGATCTCCATTGGAGGCTCGAAAGCCCTGCAAACCCAAGTCAGGAAAAAGAAAAAAAAGAAAATCAGACAAGAGACCTCCCCTCCTGGCCCGTTCCGCCATGGCAATTCGTCGTAATGCAAGGAATCCTCCCTCTCTGCGCCTTTCCTCAAAAAGATAGACATGGCATGTTCCCTCCTTTCTCTCATTGTTTTTCTTCTTCTTCTTTTCCATGTAAAATTGAACATGACACATTTCGATAGGTAGTTGGTAGCTTTTGTAAACAAGTAGGAAAAGAAGAAAAAAAAATAAAAGAGGTTCAGCGCTGAAACAAAGACGACGATTTCATCATCCCCCCATTTTCATGTGGTATCAACGTTAACAGAAAAAAAAAAAGAGAGGCTCCAAAGCCGGAAAATACTCAAACAGCCCTTCGTTTGGATTCAAACTCTCAATGCCATCCCCTCCCGCTCGACCCCCTTTTTTTCAAACTTCTCGTTCATCATGCTCCCACGCTCATCTGCGAGGCTTCGTACTGCGCGGGCGAAATCTCGCATGCTTGACAGAAGAAGACTCGGCTGGGGTTGTCGTAGTCATTCGTGATGCTGTAGTAATTGCCTATACAAAAAGCCTCTCTTGTTAGACAAAATCTCTCTTTTGTAAATCTCCTCTGTAATGACTTCAAGGGAACTCACCTCTCGGCACAAACCACATGCCGCCCGCTGATATGCGAAACTGGGCCTCGTTGATCGTCACCATGACCTTGCCCGTGTGCACGAAGAACACCATGTGCATCTTGCGCGAATTCTTGGGCCGCTTCTCGCCGCCCGGCGGCAGGTCGACGACGCCGGCGCCCATGAAGGGCATCGTCAGCGTCTTGGCGAACCGGAACGTCGCGTCGCGAATCTCCGACGTCTGCACCGCCTTGGCCGAGATGGCGATGCGCTCGTCCGTCACCTGGACGGGCTCGTCGTCGGCCGGCGGGTGCTCCTCGTGCTCCGTCTCCCAGATCACAATCTCGCCCTCGACGGTGCCCGGGTTGAGCTCCCACTCCTCGTACTCTTCCTCCTCTACCACCGCTTGCTTCTTCGCCTTGGGCCGCGCTTTGCCGCGCGATGCGGCGGATCGGACGGGCGCCTCCTCCTCGGGCACGCGGACGACTTCCTTGATGCTTGGCATGAGGAACCTATCCTTGGCAAACATGTCGGCTTGCTCCTCGACCTCGCGGACCACCTGTTCGCCCCTCCAGTATGCGACAGGCCTGTAGGAGTGTCGTCCTGACCTCGTCTGCGTTATGGTGTCGTCGATGTTCTTGCGCATGGATACTAGGCCGCGAGACTTTGGCATGGGAGGGCCACGCTGCAGCGCCGCAAACGACGTATCCCCAACTTCTTCGTCCTCGCCATCTCCTCCTCCAGAGCGGGCGTTCTTGGGCTTTCGCGCTGATCGGCCTTTGGTATTGTTGGTCTTGGGCTGAGCTTCGGCTTTCGGTTTTGCCTTGGCCTTAGCCTTGCTCGTTGCTGCGACGGGCGCGACTCTATCCCCGCGAGCGCCAGCAGGGGCTTTCCCTTTGCTTGAAGGTTTCGGTTTCGGTGGCTGGGCCTTGGAAACTGCCGGCGCAGTAGTGCGCTGCTTCTTTCGTGGGGCTACCTCCTCTTCCTCCTCCTCTTCTTCTTCCTCTTCCTCCTCCTCCTCCTCTTCTCTCGACTCCTCTTGGACTTCCGAGGAAGAGAGAATCCGGGAGTGTTTTGACGGTGGTGCTGGCTTCGTGGGTCGCTCCGGTGAAGCTGGTATTTCTTCGACACGCTTTCGCTTGGGTTGCCTCCCGGCTAGGCTGCGTTCTAGCATCGCGTCGAGTCTCGCATTTGCCTCTTCCGAGTCGTCCTGGTCCCTCGGCGAGCGTCGTCCAACGGTAACGCCAATCGGCTTTCCTCTACTGGCGCCTAGCTCTACTGAGGGTTCTTGTGCCTGAGCACGCTGAGCTGCCTTTGACTTTGCTTGAGGGGCTGCCTTGTTCGGCCTTCCACGCTTCTTCTGCCCTGACAATGGCACGTCATCGTCGTCTTGGGCGCGGCCGCCCCGGGCGTCTGACCTCGCCGAATCAACCATCATCATGGACTCGTCGCCGTTCTCGCCTGCGCCCATGACATCGTCGAGCTCCTCCGATCCCGACTCGGGCTCGTCTCTGTGCCGCGAGAGGCCGTTTACCGTGGTCGCCTTGTGCTTGCCGTTCGTCTTGGGCGTCGCCTTGCCCCCAGCCTTGCCGGCAAAGTCCAGCTTCCGGCTGACTGCTGCCTTTTCGGCGGTGGGATTGCGCGTGGGAGACGACGATCGATCGGATTGATTCCTAACGTCAGGTAAGGTAAGCCAGTAGTTCAAGTGAGAAAGCTTCAAGGGAGAGGGAGTAAGGTATACTGAAGACTGCGACGATTCTTGAGCACTGTTCGCGGCCCTGGCCCAGCACCTAAGGTTTTCGCATAAAGAGTGTCAGCAGCATAGAATCGAGGGCTTGCCAATCGTTGCCTCGGGAGGCCAGCGATTCGGCAGCGCAAGTTCGTGCAATCGTGCGGCCAAGCTCACTCGACGAGATCTCCATGTCCTCGCTCCCCGACTCCTCCTCGCGCGTGACTGCGCTTCGCGGCGACGAGAAGATGGCGTCCAGAGGCTGCATGCCGTGCTCGTCGCGCTCGCCCGTGTCCTTTAAGAAGGCGCCGGTTTTCCTGTTCTCACTGCTTCAGCCCGATGATATTCTTTCTTCTTTGGTTTCGTTCTTGTCTCATTGAATGGCGCCCCCCAAACGTACCGGCCTCGGACGCCGAGCTCGTGGAGAGCTTCCGGCTCGGCTGAAGCTTCGCCTCGCCGCCCGCCGCCTCGAGCCATGATGCGAGAATGTCGGGATTCGGTCAAGTGCGGAGAGGAGGGAAATCAGGTAAGTCGAACCGAATAAAAACAAACTACAATAGAAAAAATGAAGCTTTCGGTGCTCGACCCCTTGTAACCGATTCCCGCTGCTTCGACCCTGAAGCGACGCTGAGCTTCGGGTTTTGCGCTGGTCGAGATTCGAGGGTTTCGACGACGCGCCGGTTGGTGGATGTTGACGTGTTGAATCGGATGGAAGCTTGCGCGAAGAGATGCAGCTCCAGCTCACAGTTGCATGTTTTTTGCTGCCAGGCGGGGGGGGTTGGGGAACGCTGAGACGTCCAGTGGTACTGGAGGTAGCTGAGCCCGAGCTTCGATGCGCTGGAAGAGCGCCGAGGGACGAAGTTCCAGGCGGGCTTTAGTGCTTGTTGCCGAGCTCCAGCGGGTGGCGTTACTGGACGATGCGCTGTAGGGGGCCACTGCCTGGTATGTACTACTAGGTATGTACTAGTAGTAGTGCCCGGCTGGATAAGGTAAGGTACAACTTGCGTGGAGGGGATTAAAGAGAAACGCGTCTGGAGAGTGAAGGACGCGTCGAGGGGCTGGAGAAGCGGCTTGGTCTTTGATTGCTTCAACTCATCGCGATCCATATTCAGGCACGGCACCAGCTTATCCTGAGGCATTGATGGTCTCGAGAGTGCCGCCATCATCATCTCCATTGCCTCGTTGCACTCACTCAGCTTGAATCTCGGCATCCCACAGCCAATTGCATCTTCCAACTCCAGCTCGCCACTCAACCCTCCTCACCACCACAAAACCAAACCATCGCCATCGCCAAACCCGGCCTCACCTCCCGCCGCAGCAAATGGACCAAGACGCCCCCGAATCCACCGCCGCGGCCCCTCCGGCCCTCTCCGGCGGCACCTTCATCCCGCCCTCCGTCACCTCCCACCGCCCGGCCCTCGTCTCCGGCGCGACCTTCTCCCACTTCTCCGCCATCCCGCCCTCCCTCCTCCCAACCGACCCTTCCGACCCGTCCACCGCGCCGCCCTGCGTCCTCGGCGTCGACGAAGCCGGCCGCGGCCCCGTCCTCGGCCCCATGGTCTACGGCATCTTCTTCCTGCCCGCCGACGTCTCGGACGCGCTCCTCCGCGACACGCACCACTTTGACGACTCAAAGGTCCTCTCCGCCAGTGTCCGCTCGCAGCTCATGCACACGCTCTGCACGCCGGGGTCGGACCTGCACTCGTCCTGCGGATGGGCCACGACGGCGCTCTCGGCGAGGGACATTGGCGCCAACATGATGCGGCCCGTGTCGTACAACCTCAACGCCCAGGCCATGGACGCCACCATCGACCTCATCCGCGCCGTCTACGCAAAGGGCGTCAACGTCAAGGAGATTTACGTCGACACCATCGGGCCCCCCGCCACCTACCAGGCCAAGCTGCAGCGCGTCTTCCCCACGGCAAAGGTCACGGTTGCGAAAAAGGCGGATAGCCTGTACGCTTGTGTGAGCGCCGCGTCCGTCTGCGCAAAGGTCACCCGTGATGCCGCCCTCGAGACGCTCTTCCACGCTCGGCAGGCTGCTTCTGCTGCTGCTGCTGCTGCTGCTGTTGCTGCCAATGGTGACGAGGATGATGAACCTGCCGAGGATGGACCGATGGAATGGGGCTCGGGATACCCGTCTGATGCAAAGACTGTGGCGTGGCTGAGAAATAATATGCATCCTCTGTTTGGATGGGGGCCCGAGTGTCGATTCAGCTGGGGTACTGCCAAGGACATGCTCGAGAGCAAGGGCAACGGCGTCAAGATTGAGTGGCCGGCGGATGATGATGATGGCGAGACAAGCAAGTTGACGGACTTTTTTGTGTCAGGAGGAGGCGAGGAGAAGCAGGGGAGTGAGCTGGCTTCGTGGTTTGGGACTCCAGCAAGCCAAGAAGCATTCTGAAACGCACAAGAGGAAGGCATGGGCAGATTTGGGGCCTGGGTTATACATTCGAATCTGTGGAACAAAAGGGACACACAGAGTGGCGTTATAAGGGAGTCATCGAGGTCGATAGGTCAGGAATAGGCGTTTGGTATATGGGTAGGTAGTATCCGTTTTGGATAAGCCATCTTTATTTGCTATCTTGTAGAGACATTATTCGTATCCTGTTCGCTCATCAATGCTATACTATACGCTGCTTTACCCTCAATGTCTGACCTTTTCTCGAGTGCTTTGTACACAGAGTAGTTGGTTCCGGGCCCCCTTTTCTTTTTATTTCATTCTCCTATCCGTAGAAGAGTTACCTAGTTGTCGTCGGGCTGGCTGGCTTGTCCCGTCGTCCTTCGGCGCCCTCGGCTGTCCAGCGTGTCCATGCTAATGTCGCTGTCTTGCCTCGCCGGCATGGCCAGCGCCTGTCGGGCGGTGTCGGAGTTGGCGACAAAGTCGCGCAGCTGCTGCTTGGCAATGTCCAAGCCCTGGCCGACAGCCGCGTTGCCCATCTGCATCATGGGGCCCAGGAGGTTGAGGTACCACGCAGTGTAGGTCCCTCCACCCAGCAGGATGAGGAGGATGAACATGAAGGGGTTGCGCAAAACTACAACCAGTTAGCCAAGCTCCCAAGCACACATAATCCTTTCAAAGTGGAAAATCTTACCCATCCAGATCTCGTTCCAGCCGAGAACGAGGAGCAGCACGTAAAAGTACCAGGGCACCTGTGTCATGCCGCCAATGGCGCTACGCTTGGCCTCGACATAGACGCCGTCGGCCGTCTTCTTGAAGCGAACAACCAGGTCCTGGCGCTTGTTCTCGCTCAGCATCGTCATCTCCTCCTCGAGGCTCTTGCCTTCCTCCTCGTCGACGCCGCCGATGGGAGCGAGGTCCTCTTCATCACCGGCCTCGACTCCGCTGGGCTGCGGGCCGATGAAGCCGATCAGGTCTGGAGGCGACTGGCTGGACAGCAGCTTGAACTTGGCAAGAAGCGGTATCAGCGTCAGCGTCGACTCTCGCGCCCTCGTGTAGATGCCCTCGATGTCGTCCGTGGGCCTCCAGATGCGCGGCACGCCGGCCTCGTCGTAGCGGAACTTGTCCTCAAAGTTCTCCCTAAGCTTCATGAGGATGTTGCCCTCCATGACCTCCTCCTCGATCTTCTCCCGGAGCGCGGTCCAGCTCTTGCGTCGCAGGCGCCACAGGCCGACCTCGACTTCGGCATCGCTAGCATCGAAGCTCTTGGCTCGGTCACTAAACCGGACCTCGGCTTCGCTGACGACGCCGGTGAAGACGTTCCAGATTCGGTCCCAGAGGTCCTTTTCCGTCGCCGGCTTCTCGCCTTCTTCGGGCGCTCCCGAGCCGCCTCGGCCGGACCCGAGCTTGTTAAACTCCAGGCCAACAGCATCGCCCAGCCTGGACTTGACCCAGCGCTCCACCCGTGTGGCTAGTCGTCGGATTTCGTCCTTGCGCAGCTTGCTGCTAACCTCATCGAGTTCGGCCTCAAACAGCTGGTTTTGAGCCTCGAAGTTGGTCCAGTCGACGCCCTCAATGGCGAGGCTGTCCACCTCTGCCTTGAAGATGTCCATGGTCTTCTTCTTCTCGTTGGAAACGATTTCGGCAAACTCGTAGCCTCCGCCGGCCTTTTGCCCGGCCTTGACCTTGTTCGCAACGGCCTCGCTAAAGGCTGCGACCCCGGCCTTGTGAGCTGCCGCGATCTGCCCTTGGTACAGGGTCTTGAGTCGCCCGTCAACCTTGCTCTCCAGCTCCTGCTTCTTCCGGGAGTAGACGCCTTTGTGGTATCTGCTAGCCTGCACTTCAAAGGCCTTGAAGCATTTCTCGCGAGCCTCGCTAGCGATGGAGCCTAGGTCGGGGAGGACAACGGCCTTGCCGAGCTTGGAAGACTGTGTCTGCTTCTCCTCAAGGGGCGTCAGCTGCTGGTCAAAGGCAACCAGAACTTCCCGAGAGATCTCGTCGCATCGGAATTGAGCGAGAAGCTCTTGCTGTGTCGGCAAATCCAGGTCCTTGTTGTTGACGATCTGGTCCCAGATGCCCTCTGCATATACGGACAGACCGTCTGCGGGGATTCGCCTGTGGTACTCGGGCAGGAGAATGCCACCCTCGGTCTCTGCAACACCGCCATCACCCCCCTTTGCCACTCGGTGCCCTGTGGTGAATCTCGCTCCGAGTTGCGCGACTTCACTCTCAAACTTCTCTCCTTGGAGGATCTTGTGGGGCAGGGCAGCAAAGCCAAAGTCGAAGTAGTCTTCGATCCGGGACTGCTCCAGACCCTCTGGTTTGGAAATGGAGGACCATATCTTCTGGAGATCCTGGATCAAGGTGTTTTGGAGCGCAGACAGCGGCGTAACTCCAATGTGGTCTCGGATGACGAAGAACAAGAGAGATCGGGGGGTTGAACTGCAGACGACTATCAGCACGTGAAATCCAACTGGCGAGTGCCTTGGGATTCTCTTGGCCGGGAAAGGCCGCAAAGGGGTAGGTTGTGAGGTTTTTTGTTTTTACTTTTTGTCTTTCTGGAACAACTGCAGGTTGACCTCAAACACCGTCTTGAGCAGGCCCATGTTGGCTCCTTGGTACAAGCCAACCTGGTGTTCCCAGATGTTGACGAGGAGAACCTCGCTGGTGGCCAGCGCGAACAGGGCGCTCTTGCGCTCAAAGTCCTGGTCTTCTCCACGCTCGCGGCCGTCGGTACCCTCGACATCCATGACGAGGATGTTGTCTGCCATCTTGGTCCCCGCGCTCGTCTCGCGCTTGTTCTTGGACAGCCAGATGCCCTTTGTCGTCTGGCGGCGTTCTGTCTCTGACATGACGGAGAAGGTGGTGCCGAAGAGATGGTTCAGCAGGGTCGACTTTCCCGTGGACTGGGAACCGAAGACGGAGATGAGATGGTAGTTGAAGCCTGCTTCGGTAACATGCATGGTTTGGAGGTAGTCATTGAGGTTGCGGCTGCGGCGGCGAGGTATTTCGCATTAGCTTCCAGTCGGGTTTCAACCACCAAGGACAGCTTCCAGGAACATACTTGAACTCCTTTTCCTCGTCTATGACCTGACAGCCATGTTCATAATGGCCGTTGGCCGGCTGGTCGCCGACGGCGGAGAAGTGGCCGTTCATGGTTGCTGCTGCACGCACGCTTGCTTGGGAGCTTTCAGCAGGCCAAAGAGGGCATCAGACAGGTCTCGCTGGGCAGAGATGGGGGAAGAGATGCGTGCTCTAGAGCTGGTGAGTTAATTGACCGGACAAGAGCTGTTGGGAGGGGAGCATAAAGAAGCTAAATAGGAGCAGAGCATCAAGCACACAACAGAACAGGTCCAATGTCATTACCCAGTTATGACCACCTATCTATCTGATCGAACCGAAAGTGGCATGGGGGGGAAATGGGGGGGTACCGTGACAAGCCACACGTGGTCCCGCCAGGGTGGCGCGCCGTTGGGCTGAGGATGTGGCTGATGCGCAGCGATTTGCCCTTACTAAGCGTGCAGGGACAATTTACTGATTCGTCCGACTTGCTCCGTCGCCTGTCTACTGTCTACCTACACTGTACAGCTTCAACGAGCAGTGCCCAACAGAGAGATATGCATGAATGTCCGGCGCTTCTCCTCATCATGCCATGCCATGCCATGCCATATTATCAGAGCCATGTGTTGTCTCTCCCCTCCTCCCACAGTACCTATCGCATCCTGTGGGCGATGCGTGTCATGACCCTTGTGGGCTGGCTCAAAGTGGCTCCCGAAGCACCGACAGGGGGGACCCTCATGCAAGTGTTGAGGCCCGAAAGAGGATCTTGACCCTGAGAATCTTCTCCTGATACTGGCCGAATAGGCGATGTGCATATTCTTGTCTGCAGTGGCGGTTGATGAGACATTGACGGGCTGCAGATTGTTATATCCTCTACAGTGCCACGCATGTTGGGCTACTCTGCAGCACCTGGTCGTTGGCCTGCGGAGGTCTGTGTGAGCGTGATGCAGACATATGACAGCAACGCCTCACTTATGCAGATGACGTTTCAGAGGACTTGCATGCAGTGTCTGTTATTACTCCTCTCACAGTTGCGTCTGGCTATCTAACGTGCCGCATTTCTAGTCCTTTAGGCGCCTGCTCCGTCCAAAACGGCCTCTTATGCCCGAGTCAGGGTCAACAGGACGCTTTCACCAGGTCCCAGCTTGGCCTTGACGCCGCTCTTCTGCTTGCCAAGGTCCTTGTTGTTCCAGACATCGTGGACGCGATAGGTTCCCTTGATGCCCAGGTCCTCCCAGGAAGCCGAAACCCACTGCTCGGCAGAACTGGTGCCGCCGAACCCCCCCTGGCCGAGATCGGGTCCGTAGTTGGCGAGGACGACGACGGCCTTTCCGGTTGGCGCGGGCCCCGCGATCCAGGCCTGCAGCTGCTTGGCGTCCTGGCCTCCCGTGCCGGGGTTGCGTGGCTGCATGGGGTACTGCGCGGTGAAGTCGGCAACGTCGCGAGCCGCCTTGTTGGTGAGCAGGTTGAGGCCAAACTTGTCCAGGTGGGTGAGGTCGGAGCCGATGATGAGGTTGGCGCCCGCCCCGATGTAGTGTGTCATGACCGTCTGCCGCTGTGCGTCTGTGATGCCGGAGACGGAGGCGTTGTTGCCGACGAGGAGGTTGTCCATGTCGGGATAGATGTTGAGGTGGTCGAAATACTGCAGACCGGCAACGATCCACTGTCGGTAGTTGTCAAAGGCTCGCTGGACCACCTCCCACGACACAAAGGTTGGCTGCTGGCTGTTATTGAGGTCCTGGTCGGTCCTCATGGAGTCGGCATTCTCGTTCCAGATCTTGAAGTACTTCTCCGTCCGGTCGAGCTTCCAGGAAATGTCCAGGCGCATCTTGCGGCCGCTTTGCTGGATGGCCTTGTGCCACGCAATGACGGAGCCGCTGCCGTCAGCAGGCAGATGCTGGCCATTGTCTGGTGAGCCTGGCGTTACAAAGTCGAGCTTGACGAAGTCGACCTTCCTGGAGGCCTTGTGAGCACAATTCATGTGTAAGACGAACAGGGGAGGGGGGCTGTGCTAGAACTCACCACTTGGCAAACAGGTCGGCACAGGAGTTGTGCCAGAGCTGCACGGCCGGCTGTGTGTAGTCAAAGATGCATCGCACAAGGCCCTCGTCGCCATGGCACACGTCGCCAATCCTGACATCCGTGTTGATAATTGTCTTGTTGACGTCTTGCAGGAACGCGCCGGGCACAATGTAGACGCCCAGCTTGAGGCCCTTGCTGTGGAGATGATCCGCCAGCATGGGGATATTGAAGTTGTCCTCATCGTACATGATGCGGCCGTAATCGTCGCCGTTTCCGCCAACTGACCAACCCGAGTCCAGGCTGCAGGTGTCGTATCCGGGGAGGCCAGCGAGATGGTCACACTGCTCAATGACGTGCTCTTGGTCGAACTTCCAGCCGGGGGTGGTCAGCGGGTTCGCCTGGATGCCGAACGAGTTCCAACCACGAGCAGCGCTGCGGAAGCCATTGGGCGTCTCCTTGTAGGAGATGATCTTAAGCTGAGGCGCGTGACTGGAAGTCCGCTTGGTGTTGGGAGCTGCAACGGCACCAGTCGCGCCCAGACCGAGCACCAGCGCCGAAATCAAGCGACTTGTCATGTTGGGCTTGATGATGATGTGGAGTGGGGATAGAGAGAAGGCAGAGATTCGACACAGGCCTCGATACCGTCAAGTTGAACACTCGGGATCGAACCGGCTTGGAGCTGCTGGGAGTGAGAGACTGCGGCTGGGCTGACAAGTCCCGTTCAAAGCTTCAGCACGGCCATTTTATATCAAATTTCACCTGCATGGTCTGCCTCTCTCGTCACTACTTCTCCTCTCATCATGGATGAGAAGCCCCCCCGGATGACCTCCAGGCCGGAAGAACAGGCAGCCCGGCGGTATGCTCTCGACCAGCTCGCAGCGGAGGATTGCTCGGGGTATGCTCTCTCTGCCAAGGCCTTCAAAGGCGATGTTAGAAGCAAAGCTCCGTACGATGCCGCCGCCTATTATGTCCCTGGCCCTTGTCAGCCAGCCAGACGAAAGCTACCATTGCCGATGATAGAGTGCCTGAGTTACACCCGATCTAATGCAACCGTATGGGGGATTTTCTGGGGTACGATGCGGAGATGGGCTACTACCCCTGTTTTGCGACTGCGGGGGATTCACCAGCTCGTCTGGGGCCACCTACTTGAATACGACGGAGCTTTAGCAGAACTATTGAAAAGCTCAGCTGAGCTTCGTGCTTGAGGTCGAGGCTAAGAATCTAGCCGACGGAAATACCACGTTTGAACAAGATGGAGATCCATAGACTTGTCTGCTGGAGTGAGGAACGAGGAGACGGAAAAGGATAGAGAGTTACAGGACGGAAAAGTGATGGGAGACGGAAAAGGTCCAGAACTATGGCTTTTCCGGTTAAAGTGCCCGGCAAGCCAAATGGTGCTCCCTTTTCGCGAGGGACTGCGTTTACGGCGTATCGAGCTCGACTGGCATGTCAAAATGATGTTGGACGAGGCAACTGTTCTCTCTTGCCTTCAAGGTGACGGAAGTGGTATCTATCATCGACCATCGCATCTCGAAGCTGCGCTTCCCATGGGGGTTCCGGCAATGTCTAGGCATCCTCTCCATTGTCACCAATGGGCCGACAGCACCGGCCGTTTTCACCTCCTTTGACATGTCTTCAGAGTTGTCTTCAGCTACGCACTCTCCGACAGCATCTATTTGACCTGGTTGAGGCTGAGAAACACCCCCCAACCTAGCCCAGCAATGCTTCCAACAAGCTGCCGGTGGTCAAACGGAACGACAACCAGGTTCAGCAGGCAGACGACGGGCCACACTCGATAGCCGGCAAACAACATTGGCCGAAAGTCCTGACAACCTTCGATCAGCATCCCCCAAATCAGGTTCACAGGCAGGGCAAGAGTTGGGTCCAGTCACTCACGCTGATGACACTGCTCACGATGTGATTGTAGCTCTGAGAGCTCAACTGGCCCATCAGACAGATGAACAGAAGCGTGTTGATGGGCGCCCCGAGTGCCTGATCCAGGATGAACTTGGCTGCCGTGTTGGCAATATTCAACTTGCCGCCAGGCCCTGTCACAGCATTCGACGATGGCTGGTTCGAATCGTCATCGAGGGACTTGTGATGCTTTGGCTCTGTGGTGGTTGGGAACATTCGCTCCAGAAACTCCTGCCACCTATAATTGGGCGGCGTCGTGAGCACCGTGTACACGATGAACCGCAGGATGGAGGAGAGATCGATGCCATCCGTTGTCTGCCATGCGGGAGACGCGGACCAAGCGAGCCTCGAGTCAGCACGTCAACATTATTCAACGGCGAAAGCAACATTGGCAACATGGGAGGTTTGGGATACTGACCCCCCTGCGATATGCCAGAATGGCTTGCGCAAACACGCCCGAGAGGGCGTTGAGCACAGTGGCCTGGACGGTTGCGGCCGTGACTTTGGAGTCCATTGCGCCGACGGAATGAAGCTTCTTCTTCAGCTGCCTCTTCGAAAGCGATCAAGATGATGGGAAGAGAAGCAGCTTCGGGTCAAGAAGGAGTTATTGCGGCTGAGCTGTCGAGTGCGGTTTCCAAAGGGGCCACTCCCGGGATACCTATGGATTGTCAATTCTCCTGCATGTCCGCGAGATAGCCCGAAAAATTGCTGAGGCCCGGAGGTCTTGTTCTACACGTATCACGGGAACTATTACGCATGTCGCCATCCTTCAGCTGCGAGAGAGGACGAGGGGGGGATCGCTGCACGTCTATTTGTCCAGACTCGACTGCTATTCGCTGCTGATCGAGCTCGGCAGGGCTCCCGAAGCAGGCCAGCAGGGGTCAATCTTGGATTCACGGGTAAGACGAGAAGAGTCCATGCATCCAGCGCCATCTCAGTCCTCTAACCGAGGCCAATGTCCCTTGCATGACCAGTCAAATTGCGTATGTTGGCCATACTCTGCCAGTGGACGAGGGAGGGACTGCAGACTGTCGAATCTCTCATGGTGAACAAGGTGACTGACTGTCAACTTTTCCATATCTGTCGTCCAATACTAACTCACTCATGTATCGCAGATCTCTCCATGTGTGCTCATCTACACGTATCTGAGAAGATACAAGATATGATACCCTAAATCCAGCAGAGCATCCCCTCACAATCGACCAAACTTGTCCTCTCAACCGCGCTCCGCCTATTGCCGTTTCCATGGCATCCCAAAGGGGAAATTCTCGGGCACGCCAACTTTTGCCTCTTTTCAAAATAGTAGCCTCAGTATTATTATTACCGCCGCCAACCAGAGAAAATCCGGGGAGACTTGTAAGACCGGTCTGGTCTACCCAGGTCTGGAATAGCCAATTGCGGGGTGAAGAAGACGAACCGAGGCCACCCTTGTCAAGGTGCTCAACGAGGCCAAGAGGCCTTCACGAGGGACTCTTTGGAGGCGTCTAGTCAAAGAACCGGCTGGAGGAGAGAGAGGGGAAGAAGAAGCTGAGAGGACTATAAAATGAGCTTGTTGGGATGTCTTCTGTGAGAGGAAAGTGGCCGAAAGCAAGGAAGAGTGAGACGGAAGTTTGCCGCAAGCAAGCAAGCAAGACAGCCAACGGGTTCTTGTCTTGGGTTTCTTTCTTTCCCGGCATCTTGGCTTGACCAGCACCTTTGTCTTCTCTGTCATCGTCTTTTGAGAGCACAGGATTGCTCCCCCCCCCTTTTTTTTCCAGACATGGAAAAGTCCACTCTGGCCGTGGCCCACGCGGAAGATCTTCCCATCGAGCCCAACGAAAAGCTCGCCATCAATGAGATTGCAGACAAGGCCAAGCAGGGCGCCGAGGCCGAGCACAACCTGCCTCCGCTCAAGGCGCTGCGCCTCTACCCCAAGGCCATCTTCTGGTGCCTGATTGTGTCTGCCTGCGTCATCATGGAAGGCTACGACACGAACCTTCTCAGCAACTTCTACGCCTACCCCGAATTCGCAAAGAAATACGGCCACTACAACGAGGCGACGAACAACTATCAGCTGTCGGCCCCCTGGCAGGCCGGGCTGGGCAATGCGTCGAATGTCGGGTCTTTCTTTGGCACCCTCCTTAATGGATATCTTGTGCTCCGATTTGGGCACGTCCGCGTTATTCTGGGCTCCCTCGTCACCATGAGCGCCTTTGTGTTCATCGTCTTCTTTGCACCGAATACCAAGGTCCTGCTTGTGGGCGAGCTGCTGTGCGGCCTGCCTTGGGGCATCTTCGCCACGACGGCGCCGGCATATGCCTCGGAGGTCCTGCCGATGACTCTCCGCGTGTATTTGACGAGCTGGACCAACATGTGCTTCATCATCGGTCAGCTCATCTCGGCCGGCATCTTTGCCGGCCTTGTGAACAACACGACGGAATGGTCCTATCGGATTCCGTTTGCTGTCCAATGGGCCTGGCCCGTCATCCTGTTCCCCATTATCTGGTTTGCGCCAGACACGCCCTGGCACCTCGTCCGTCAGGGGCGCTACGAGGAAGCCAAGGAATCGTTAAGGAAGCTCCGCTCCAATCCGTCAGAGGAAGAACTCCAGGAGAGCCTTAACCTAATCATCTACACCAACAACCTGGAAGAGCAACTCTCCGTCGGCACCTCGTACTGGGACTGCTTTAAGGGCTTTGAGCTTCGCCGCACCGAGATTGCCTGCATGGTCTTTGCCGGGCAGGTCCTCTCCGGCATCAACTTTGCCTACAACTCAACCTACTTCTTCCAGCAGGTCGGGCTGACGACGACCCAGACGTACCATCTCGGTGTCGGCGGCAACGGAATGGCGCTGTTCGGCACCATTGTGTCATGGATCTTCGTCATGCCGTACTTTGGCCGCCGCACGACGTACGTCACCGGCATGGGCGTCATGTCGGCCATCCTCATCATCATCGGTGGGCTCAACGCGCGGACGAGCGAGCACGGCGTGGGCATGGCGCAGGCCGTCCTGACGCTGGTCTGGACCTTTGTCTTCCAGCTGTCGGCGGGCCAGCTGGGCTGGGCGCTGCCGGCGGAGCTCGGCTCGACGCGGCTGCGGCAGAAGACGGTGTGCCTGGCGCGCAACGCGTATGCGGTGACGGGCATCGTGGCGGGCGTCCTGCAGCCGTACTTTATGAATCCGACGCAGTGGAATCTGAAAGGGTACACGGGCTTTGTGTGGGGAGGGACGGCGTTTGTGACGTTTGTGTGGGCGTATTTCCGGCTGCCCGAGTCCAAGGACCGGACGTATGAGGAGCTGGACGTTTTGTTTGCGAGGGGGGTGCCGGCGAGGAAGTTTGCAAAGTATAAGATTGATGCTTTTCAGAGTGATGCTCTGCCTTAGATGGGGTGGAAAAGGGGGAAGGGGGGGGATCTGGAGGGGCTGGGTTGAGAGGTTGGGGGGGATTGGTTGCTATGGGTAGGCAGCTGAGTGATGGATGTCATTTCTTGTTTGTTTGGGTATGAAGATGCTTGATGCTTGAAGCCGTATTATTCTATCTGATACTGTGGCCATTGCTGGGTGAACAAATGACGTCTGTTTCCCGCTGGCGATGGAGTCACTGGGTGAAGCATCTAACAGAGACACTTGCCAGTTATGGTCATTTCCAGATACGGCACACCAAGCCAATAGGGATCTAGGTACCCAAGGTAGGTAGGTACCTTACTCAAGCATTTTACCTTGGGTACCTAGGTAGTCAAAGTGCACAATCGTGACACTGTCTTGTTCCTTGTGTTTGACCAAGAGTATATATTTTAGAAGTAGCAGCAAATGAAGGCATGTCTGCACATCAGAATCCATCCAATGCTGCTTTTACCCCGGATTGCCCGTTTCGGCAAGTTCCTGATCTTGTGGAGCAACCTGTACTCGTATGTATGGACAAGACATCAACCCCTCCACTGTATTCTTCCGAATAATCTCCCACGGCATCTCGCCAAATTGATCCTCTCAAACAACGCAAAGACTACCTACCTAGGTACTGTTATATCTGGAGGCAGAAGAAGAGTCGCTTGTATCCCGCGGGGTAGAATTACGCATGCCACATTAGTTTAAAAATCACCCCGACTAATTGACCGTTTCTATTATCCAAGTATAGTATCTACAAGGGACACACTGGCCCAATATCTTTCTGACAATGATAGCATCTACTTTAATTCCTTTCCCTGTGGGGGTTACCATCGAGGAGGTGGAAACGAGTGTTGGCATACTGACGAAAGAAGGAAAGGATCGGAGAGGAGCGTGCTTTTGTATCATCCCGGACCCTTTGATTCTGCATTGTATCCATATCGACCATATGGCTCTTTTTGCCTTTAGCCGCCGGCTGTCTTTTCTCTCCCGCGCGGTATTACTGAGGAGCTTCTTTTCTCTCATATTATCATATTCACTCGAGAAGTACCATTGAAGGTCAACCAAAAACGCCCTGTCTTCTTCTAGTCTGCTCTTGTCTCTCTTCTCTCTTCTCTCTCATCCCTCAGAGTATTGTCCTTCTTCTGCGCGGTGATTCGAGCGATTCAAAAATGAGGTTCTCAAGAGAAGGGCTCCTCGTGGCCCTCTCCACGAGCACCGTCCAAGCCGTAAACAACGGATTGGCACGAACACCTCAAATGGGATGGGTACACTTCCTCCTGTCATCCATCCCTCTCCATCTCCCCCCCCTCCTCCTCATCATCACATCCAACCTCTATCTCTTTTCCTCTCTCATCCAGCAAAGCACCTCTAGCTAACGAGTTTCTACTCCTCCTCCTCCTCCGTAAAAAAACAGAACAACTGGAACACCTTCGCCTGCTCCGTCTCCTCCGCCCTCCTCACCAGCACCGCCCAGCTCCTGACGGAATACGGCCTCCAGGACCTCGGCTACAAGTACGTCGTGCTCGACGACTGCTGGTCCGCCGGCCGCGACGAAGCAGACGGCAGGCTCGTGGCGGACGAGGCCAAGTTCCCCGGCGGCATGAAGCCGCTGGCGGATGCGCTGCATGAAAAGGGGTTTCTGTTTGGCATGTATTCGAGCGCGGGGGAGATGACTTGTGCGCGATACGGTAGGGGGTTGTCTTTTCATGTCTTGTCTTGACCTTGTTCTCGCTGCTTTGATTTGTTTCTTCTCCTCCTTCTCCCCCCCCCCCCCCCCCCCCCCCCCCCCTTTCGTCCCTTGTCGTCGTATAAGCGGAAGTACCAGAGAAAACGCTGACTGTAGGTTGAACGCACAGCCGGCTCGCTCGACCACGAAGAGGCAGACGCGGCGAGCTTCGCCTCCTGGGGCGTCGACTACCTCAAGTACGACAACTGCTACCACATGGGCCGCTTCGGCACGCCCCTCATCTCGTTTGACCGCTTCAACGCCATGGCCAAGGCGCTCAAGAAGACGGGGCGCGCTATATTATACAGCCTATGCAGCTGGGGCGAGGATTACGTCCATACGGTATATATGCTTCCCAACCTCTTCCCCCCCTCTTCCCCCTTCCCCCTATATCAACGTCCATCTGTTACCACACACATACAAAGATAGGACTTGATGTACCATATATATATATATATATATATGAGAAATAGCCATGCTGATAGAGTACAACGGCAGTGGGGAGGCTCCATTGCCAACTCGTGGCGCGTCTCAGGCGACATCTACGACTCGTTTGCCCGCCCCGACGACCTCTGCTCGTGCACCGACGCCGCAGACCCGGCATGCATCGCCCCGGGAACGCACTGCTCCGTCCTGGCCATCATCAACAAGGTCGCGCCGTACATTGACCGCGGGCTGCCGGGCGGCTGGAACGATCTCGACATGCTCGAGGTTGGCCACGGCGGCATGACGGAAGAAGAGGTGAGTGAGCTCTCCCAACGACTCCCCCGCATATAACATTTCTCGTGGTAACCCCTGAATCATCATCATCATCTCCTCAACGACCATGACTTTTTCATACTCTTCCCCCCCCCCCCCCCCCCCCAAATACTATTCATATCGTCCAACTGACACACAATGTGAAATGTGCACAGTACAAAGCCCACTTCTCCATGTGGGCGGCCCTCAAGTCCCCCCTCCTCCTCGGCAACGACCTCCGCATCATGACTCCCTCCACCCTAACAATCATCACCAACCCGGCCATCATCGCCCTCAACCAAGACCCCCGCGGCCGCGCCGTCCAGCGCATCAGCCGCAACACCTCCGTCCCCAAGGACCGCTACGGCGTCGGCGAGACGCACGTCTGGAGCGGACCCCTCGCCAACGGGGACCAAGTCGTCATCTTCCTCAACGCCGCCGACGCAGACCTCGACATGTCCGCTTCTCTCGAGGACATCTTCATCATGGATGGCGTCGGGGGCACGGCGGCGCAGGTGAGGCAGGACTGGGCGGTGCATGATCTCTGGGGCAAAGGCGCGAGGATGGAGACGGAGGATGCGAGGCGGGTGCTTGATGCCGAGGGGCAGGAGGCGAGGAGGGCGGTGCTCAAGCGGTTGGGTTGGTATAATGCTACTGAGGTGCCGTATGCGGAGGGGTTGAGGAGGAGGGATCCGAGGCTGTTTGGGGAGAAGATTGGGGTTGTTGAGAAAGGGGGGGATTTGAGTGTACGGGTGCCGAGGCATGCGGCCAAGGTGTTTCGGCTGCAGAGCGTGAGCGGGGAGGATACCGCGAGGAAGAGCCTCGTCAGGGATGAGCTCTGAAGCAGGTGAATCATATGTTGACACCGAGAGTCACAACAGGGGGAGAAAGAGGTGGGTGGAAAAATAGGGGGGGGGGGGGGGGGGGGCGCAAGTCCACAATCGACTGCGTGCGCCATGCAGCATCTGGGCCATATCTAGCATCGTAAACCAAGGCATCTCTCATACAGCATATTCGTGGCCAAACCAATAAAAACCCATCCAGGATATATAAATGACCCCTCAAAGAAAAAAAAAGAGACAGTTCAGGGCTCAGAAATCATGCCATCTCCACCTGCCCAGACATGTGCACCTGCTCATCAAACGCCTCCTCGCACCCCAACCCCATAAACGCTCCCGCCCCAGGCTCCAGCATCGCCAAGTCGCACGTATCCTGCCAGCTCCCCGCGCTGCTGCTCGCCGAGGACTCGTCCCCCTGAGCGTGATGATGATGATGATGATGAGCAGCAGCCAGGTCGCCGACGTCGGCGGCGGCGGCGGGATGCTCCTCCAGCAGCGCGGGCCAGTGGATGTCGATGCCGGCCACCAGGGGGCTGGAGAAGCCGAGGATGAGCTCCGAGTGCTTGAGCAGCTTGGGCAGCAGGTTGGACTGGCAGCCGCGGATGCGGCCGAGGAACTTTACGACGGAGCAGAGCAGGTCGTGGGGGCCGAACTCGAACGAGGGGACGGGCGAGGCGGACATGGAAGCGTCGGCGAGGCTCATTCCAATGTCAAACAGCTTCTGCTCCTATATACATTCATCAAACACATTTCAGTTAGCAAACACCCCTGTCGACGTTTTTGTCGAGAGTCTGGCAATGTTCGATAATACGTACAATGGCAATCCCGTGACAGTCCTTGGAGCTCTGGCTCACAGACCCCAGGGCCTTCATAATCGACTTGCCCGCCTCGAAGGGCAGCCCCAAGGCGGGCATCAGCCCCTGCCCGTAGACGAGGCTGGGCTTGCTGCCAAACGCCAGCCGCCACATGGACACGCGCAGCCACTGCTGCGTGACGAGCGTGTCGAAGCGCTGGCTCTCCATGACGCTCTCGGCGGGCTGCACGGCCGACAGCTTGTTGCTGATGGCGTGGCTCAGCGCGACGCCCTGCGGCTGGCACCCGTCCGTGTGCGGCTGCCACTCGTACAGCGAGCAGGGCAGCAGCTCGAAGAGGCGGACGTGGTTGACAAAGTCGTGCATGACAATGGGGCAGTCCGAGTCGACGATTTGCGGCTTGGAGATTGTGTTGCGCAGCATCACCGGCCGGCGGTGCTGCAGGGCGTATGTCCTACGGAACCAGAATCAGTGTCCCCTCTCTCCCTCTCTCTCTTGTGTGAAAATATCTGCTGTGAAAAGAGAACCTCTCTCACCTCTCCGTCACAAAGAGCAGCCAGAAGATCCGCCGTCGAATCTCCCGCTCGCTCTCCTCCAGGTTGCTATACGCAGCCTCGCTATGCAGCCCAATCGACAGGGCCAGGGAAATGGCCTGGTTCAGGTAGAACCAAGCGTGCGTATGCTTCTCCAGGTTGCCATAGCCCGCAAAGAGGAAAAAGGACGTGAGCAGCGTGTCGAGGCTCAAGTCGTCCACCACGTTGAACTGCAGCCTCGCCTGCTCCGCGGCGCCCAGCAGGGCCTCGCCCGTGAGCGGCGAGTCCAGCGACGTGTTGATGCCCACCGCCGTCTCGTCGTACTCCTCGGCGTTGTCGAGCTTGAGCTGGATGCGCGTCGCCGCGCAGAGCGACAGCAGGAAGGCGTACCGCGAGGGCGACAGCGAGTCCAGCCGCAGCGAGTCGGCCAGCAGCTCCCGGTCGTTGACGACGGGCATGATGGGGAAGAGGTGCTTCATGAAGACCTGGACGTGCGCCGCCAGCGCCACGGACAGCCGCTGCCTGTCGAGCTCCGTCGCCGTCGCCAGGGCCAGCAACGGATTCTGCTGCTGCTGTGATGCTCCTCCATGTCCTCCTCCTTGTCCTCCTCCTCCAGCAGCTCCTCCACCAGCAGCAGCACCACCACCATTCCTACTCCTCCTGCTCGCCGCCGCCGCCGCCGCCGCCGCCGCCTGCTGTTGCTCCCCCAGCACCCCAAACTGCATCTGCTGCGCGCTCCCCGGCGTGCTGACCTCAAAGTGATTCCTGTCCGGCTCCGTCAGGCCCTGCCTGATCTGCGACAGCCGCCGGCCCTTGCCGCCCCGGGGCCCCTTGCGCCGCAGCGTGTGGAGGTATCGGCACGGGATGGACGACACGACGCAGTTGCTGCAGGGGAGGCCGCGGTCGCACTTCATCTTGCGGAAGCGGCAGTTGTCGCAGACTTGCTGCGGCGGCTTTGGCGGGGTGGGGGGTGGCATTGTGGTGTTGTTTGTTGTTGTTGTTGACATTGTGATGGTGGTGATGATGATGATGATGTTTGCGTAGTAGGCAGTTGTAATTGTAAGCGAGAGAGTGGGAGGGAGAGGGAGAGGGTGGTGAGTTTGGTGATGGTGGGTGGTGAGACGCGATGCTTCCTATATCGGACGTTTCTGGTGTTGTAAGTCGGAACTATATACCAAAGTGGCACTCAGACTCGGCTGAGTCTCCTCCTCCTCCTCCTCCTTCTTCCTCTTCTTCTCAACTTGCAATTGGCAATCTTAAAGAAGCAAACAAAACGTAAAGATCTCAAGCCTTTCTCAGCCAGAGCAGCATGTAATCACATCCAGCTCCAACGACGAAATTAGATGACAGTAGCAAAAGTGGGAAGAAATTAAGAAGAAAAAGTAATCTTCAACAGACAAAAAGAAAAAGTATTAAAGAAGGGCCAAGCTTAGATACACCATCCTTTTCCCGTCGGCTCGCCTCACAGGGCCAGCGTTACATGCATCCATCACCTTCGCCTTACACCTTGCATGCAATGCTCAACCTTTTCTTCGATTCCCCGCAAACTCCTGCTTCGGCTCGGATCATCCCCCCTCTTCAACCCCCCCCTCTTAAGAAAACACCATCATGGCCGCCACGTTTCTTTCCCCCCTTTAGCCTCAAGCTTTCCATCGTAAAGTGCCCATTCGCCATCAAACACTTCACGAACCGTTCAGCCGAAAAACAATGACATGAAGCTCCCTTTTCCGTCAATAACGCTGTGGACCCCCCTCCCCAGCAAGCCAAGCATCATCAACAGAACTTCCTAGGCTGCTTGGGGAAATACTCGGGAAAGCTATCGTTCTAAGTCTTTCCCCCACAAAATGGTCGTGCGGAGAAATACATAGCCCAGTTCTCGTCTTTGTTCATTCATTTTGCGGGGTGAAGAAAGGCTGTCATCGTGACTCTGTGATGCTTACTACAGCTGGCTACCTACCTTAGTTTCGCCCGTCCTGCGCCTGAAAGTAATATAATGCCGACTGATCAGGAAAAAAGAGAGAGACAACCATATTATCATCTCGGTTCTCCTCATCCATCTCTTCATATTGTCCAGCCAGACCAAGAGCCAGGGGGAAAGGCCGCCATCACACCGTCCACTCCAGTACCAATTTCAGTGCCGTAAGCAAAGCATGGAAACCCCATATCCTGCCTACAGGTACCTTGGTAGGTAGATAAAGCGGTTTGCAGTAGAAAAAAAAAAAAAAAAAAAAAAAAAAAAAAAAAAAAACGGAGCGCAAAGTAATAGATGGAAATATAAGCTTACATAAAAACCAACGATGCGCACACAAATGCGACGTTCGTCACCAAGCACTGAACCAAAACGGTGCTCTTATTTGGTCCCATGTGTGTCTATATTCATTCCGCACTCCCTATGTATTTACAAAGCGCTTGCGAGGGTCTTCATTAGCATTACACATACGAACCTTACATTACCATCGGCGTCCAGTATCAAATGTACAGATCAAAGCAAAAGGCGTCCGCATTCTGTAGCTTCCCTGTCCTCTAGAGCAACGGAAAAGGCATTCCCTCGCCGAGACGGATCCGCCTGGCTGGGTCGACCAAGGCTAGCCAGACCTTTATGTCACCACACTCTTGTACAGACACCTTTTCCGTCTCTGCTACGTACGTGAGTACCTGTAGTCCTTCTAGTAAAGGGCCTTGTCTCGTTAGTGTTCGGATAAGCCTGGGCGACTGGAAAAGCATTGCCAAGTCGTCAGTGCAAGGTAGCAATCTGTTTTGCTTCGCTTCAAACCTCAGAAAATCACATCATGAAAGCTGCCAAAGCTGCCAATATAATGGCCGTCTATTAAAGACAAGTCTAACAAAAGAAAGGAGAAAAGAAGGTGTAGAGACTAAAAGTAGGTAGCTATATGTAAACAGTTCATGCCATGGCGTAGCGGTGCCAGCACTACCTCGTAGTAGCCACAGCGTCTCGATCCAGCGTCTAATTGTTTCAACCCGAGCAGTTGTTTCCCATCCTGATATTTTCCTCCTCTCCCTCCATGATGCGAACAATGAATTACCATACCGCCCGGTCGTTGTGCTCATAGCGTACAACTGGGCCCTTGACGCAATACAAATCATAACCTCGCGTCCTGTAAATTCCATTCTTTTTGTGTTGTTGCTTTTTCTGTGAAACCAAAACCATTCCCCCGGTATCGCAAATATAAACATTGAAGTCACTACTCAGGTGAACAGCCATCGAGAAGAGCGCATCGATGTAGAAGCTCACAGCGAGTCAATGGCTAGCTTCGAGATGAATCTCGCCTTTGGTAAAGACTCACATCAACTAAGCATTGTTCGACGTGGTTGATCCTCGCTGGCGACGGCCCACACTGCCGCCGCGGTTGGGCACATGCAGCGACGGCGACAGGTGGAGAGTGTCCTCGGGCCGGCTCACGTCGAAGCTGGGCCCGCGGTAGCTGGAGTGGCGGCCGATGGCCCCTCCGTCATCCTGGTGCGCGCCAAACTGCGGATGAGTCCCAAACTGCGCTCCGGGGACACCCGTCTGGGCCTCCTCATCGTACGTCCGGATGCGGGGGCTGGCCGGGAACGTCGTGTTTTGGCTGTCAGTCGGCGTCAGGCCCGTCAGGCCCTCGCCTGCTCGTCGTCTGCCGCCACGCTGGCTCTCCTTCTTGCCGAGATCTGCCGCCAGGCCGGGTTCGTCCGCCGGGTCCCTGGAGGCAATGGAGCGAGCGTCAGCGTCCCACATGCCCGTCGTCTCGAGAGCCAGCGATCGGTTGCTGTTAAGCGATTGCATGGCGTCCTTCTCTGCCTGGGCCATCTGCTCGGGGGTCTGGTGGGCGTTTGAGGGCACCAGTCGCGCGGCATCGGCCCTCTTGGCTGCCTCCTCTCGGCTGTGGGCGGCCCACTCGTCCGTCACGGACACCGAGTACGAAGGGTTCGTGGGTCCGCCCAAAGGTTCACCACCACCGCCAGGCGCCAGGATGGGAATCTTCTTCAGAGCAATGGCCAGAGCACACATGAACTTGGAGCGGCGCGTGGCGCGGACGCGATCGTTGTGCCAGTTGGACTTGTGCTTGATGCTGATCTGGAGGGTCAACTTGTCAAGGTTATTGACACCGCCAACGCCAATGCTGAAGTCGGGCTGGAAGTCGCGAGAGTTCTCGGGCGACCGGACAAACTTCTCCATCTCGATGCGGAGCAGCTCAATGTCCTCAAACGAGGTGTCAAAGGAGACGTCAAGAGTGATGGTCTCGGACATGGCCTTGCTTCGCGTGATGTTTTCGATCCAGAGGTTGTTGAGTACAATGTTGGGAACCTGTGTGTCGAATGGTTAGCAGTCGCTCCCAAGGCATGTTCTCAAAGAGGCGGCTTGTCTTACCTGAGAGACCTGCATCCTATCGGTGCGGGTAAAAACAGTGTACAGCAGGGAAATGCGGTCGACGAGCATCTGTGTGCCTTGAATCTCGATGCGGTCGCCGACATCGTAGGGATGCTTGACGAAGAGGAAGATGCAGGAACCAAGGAACTCCTGGGTGGTGACGGCGAAGACGAAGGAAAGGGACAAGAGAGCAGTTCCAGCGGTGGCAATGGTCGTCAGGAGGCTGCTGTTGAAGAAGGACACTGAAAAGCACATGGTCAGCATATGAGCCCACACAATCAGAGGTACTAGGTAGGGGGGAGAACTCACAGAAGATGAAGATGGTGATGAGCAGAACCACAAACAGCAGGACCTTATCAAAAGCCGTCAGGGCCTGGCCGATATCCTTCATGCCTTCGGCAATGGCCTTTCGCTCCTTGCCCATCTCGACCACCTTGCGGATCATCTCCTCGAGGCTGATATCCCCGTTGGCGTCGGTGTCAATGGCCTCAAAGGCCTCCTCAGCCTCGCGCTTGTAGGCCGGTCCGAGGACCTCCTCCAGGTCGTCTGGGTACAGGGCGTCTCTGCCCTCTATGACAAAGGACATCCAGAGGCGCCTGGCCAGGGCCTCGGACGAGCGCTTCTTCTCCAGGGCTTCGACAACGATGGAGTGGGCCGAGTTGGGGTTGAAGACGTGCTTGCCTGTGATTTCGCTAGCAAGGTTGCCAAAGACGGACGTCACCTTGTCACCAAGGCGGGTAACGTCTCCAATGATCCTCATGGGGGCCTGGGCGCCGGGGACCTTGACCTTGCCGGCCTTGCGTCGAAGCATCATCTCGATACTATCCTCGATGATGTAGTCCTCCTCGGCAAACTCGGGGCAGTACATGGGGAACAGCGTGCGGGAAGCGTCGTACAGGAGACCCAGGAGATGGATTTCCCGCTTGGAATCCTTGATGCGGTTGTCAAAAGATCGCTGGTGGTACGACACACCGATGAGCTGGACAATGGCCTTTTCGCCGAGCAGGACGGCGGAGGAGACGAAGCAGGCACCGAGGACGCGCTCGAGGTTGACCACCCAGACAATGCCATCGGCATATTGCTGGGCAAAGAGGCTCTTGAACGTGAGCCACGAGGCCAGCATCCAGAAGAAGATGGAGATGACAATGTTGAGGTTGCCGAGGACGGTGGCATACTTGCGCGTGCCAGCGCTGACGATGCCGCAGAAGAACATGAAGATGTGAGGGAGGAACCAGGCGGCCATCTTGACGCCCCAGAGAGCCAGCCAGGAGATTTGAATCCACAGGAAGAGCGTGAACAGCGGAGGGCCGCGGGCGTCTTGGTGTCTGCCGACGTGGATGTCGTGCTTGTGGTCCGTCAGGGCAAGCACGACGAGGGGGACGGCCAGCAGGATGCCGACGGGCACGACGTAGACCATGTACCGCGTGATGACGGAGAAGCCGACGATCTTGGCATAGAGGCGGCCCATGGCGTTGAGCTTGACCTCGTCACCCGTCTGCCTGCGCTTGAGGGCCTCGTCGTCCATTCTGCGCCGACGGCCAGCATGGCGGTGCATTCCCTGCTTCTCATTGTGCGAATCGTGGCCGTGGGCTGTGGAGTTTGGCTTCCTGGCACCCGTGGTCGAGGCGTTGCTCTTGACCGTGGTCAGAGGAGCAAGCTGGATCCCGTTGTTCTCCATCTCGCGAGGAGAGTCGTTTCCTTCCAGGGGGAGGAATCCAGCCGAGCTTCGAGACGCGCGGGAGGGTTGACGATGCGCCATCTGAAGTTTCCCCTACTCCAACAACAACGACAGGTGCACTCCTTGTGAGGAGAGCAGGGCAGGTCGTCTATATATATATATACCCCGAGGAGTCGACGACCGGTATAGATGCCCAAGGTAGCAGGTGTAAAGGCTAGTGATGTTTCGAGTTGATGTATTCGGAAAAGTTTAGGCTTTTCGTTGCTGCAAAGATTGCAAGGATGGCCCCAGGTGCTCTGCTAAAGCTGAGGATATGCACACAGCACGAACCGTCGTATGACTGCGCTACTACTCCACGAAGAGCCGAGAAATCAATGCCGCAGCAAGGGGGGGAGAGAGAGCATAAACAATGCCGGCGAGTGCGATGTTTCAAATGCCGCGGACGCAGAAGCCGCTGAAGACCGGCTCCAGAGAAATTCGAGGCTGCAGGAAAATGCACACAAACGGGTGATGAACGATGCGCTGACGTCGATATCAAGGTTCCAGGACGGATGATCAACGAAGGTCCGTGCCAGTTGCTAGGATTGGTCAAAGCGAGGGACAATCCGTAGGGCAAGAAATCACCAAACAGGAACTGGAAAGAAAGAGGAAGAGACGAGGTTTGAGGAAAAGCCTTGACAAAAGACTCGAGGCGAGAGGGAGGAAATAAGATCGAAAGTGACTGAGGAGGGGCCTGAGCAACAGAGGTCCGAGAACACTAGGGGCGTTTCAGGATATATAGATAAAAGAAAAAATTCGAGGGCCAAAACGAGCGAACCAGGAAGAGGGACAGACGAGCCGGATAGTCCTTTTAGGCAAAAGCAAAGGGCAAGAAAAGAGAGAGAAAAAAAAAAACCGAGTCCCAAGCGAGTGGAAGGGAGAGGAGTGGAAACTGTGGAGAGAGACAGAAGGGATCGCGAGGGAAACGCAAGACGATCTCGAGAAGCTGGTAGAAACAGGGCCCGGAAGGAAAGAAGTGCTTGCTGCAACATGACAGAGACGACAGGTGCTATGGGGTGGTGAAACAGACGTGCCTCTCACTGGCCCGATTGCAAGGGGGGGCGGATCTGCGGCGCGGTAGCAGTGACATCGACCTGCGGAAAGGGCGCAGTTTGGCTGGCGTGCCACGCGCGGGCTGGCGCACGGCGGCAGGTATCCGGTACGACGGCCGAGGGTGGGCTGTGGCGGCGCCTTTAGCGCACCTGCAGGGCTCGAAGGGGCCCCGTTGGCAGCCCAGCAGCCCCAGCAGGGCCAGCGGCGTGTGATAGGGCGCCGAGCCAGGTACCGACCGCATACGAGGAGCGGCCACAGTGGAGCTGGGCGCTGGGCTACAGGGGGGGATGGATGAACTGAACTGGACGCAGCTGAGCTGATGCGACGGTGCAGTTGGGTGATGGATACATGTACATGTACCTAGGTGCCCCCAACTGGATCAATCCGACAGGCTGCATTGCCGGGTTGCTTTACGTGTAATATGTACGAGTACTGCATACATGTAGGTACCCTGCCATGTTAGGTAGGTACTGTCTGGACGGCGGCATGGCGCACATGGCAAGATGCATGATTGCGTGCGAACCCGTGCGTGTCGGGGAGGACCTGCACAGTGACGTTGCAGCCGGAACACGGTAGAACCGTCGAGATTCGACTTGACGACGATGCCACTCACTGCATTTAGTACTACATGTCCTGGCATGTGAAGTCGCACTCGAGTCTACACTATCCGAGTCACCAGCATGCAGCAGTCCATTTCTGCTCATGCTCAACCAACGCAGGCTTTCACTTGTTGTTTCTATTATCACGAGTACCTACCGTATCATACAACTCCGGTATTACTCGTAGTATCCAAGACCCCCCCCCCCCCAGCCCGGCATCTCATCCCGGACAGCCTCCAGCAGGGCTTCCCCTCGTCCGTCCAGTCCCTCATCTCATCTCACAAGCCCATCGAGAGACAGAGCAAAACAAAAAGCCTGTCAGGACCCCTGCCATCGAGGCTGTAGACAAAGTGGGAACAAAGCCACAGGCCACGCGACGTGTCTGATGCGCTGCCTGTTAAGTGATGTGTGGCCTCTGTTCAGCTCCATTTCTCGCCAGAACGAAACCTTTTTGACAAATGAATCCCTGGGGTTGTGGAAAGGAAAAAGAAAGCAGGGAATTTACAAGGTAAGGTACAAGTATGGAGTCAAAAACGTCAGCGAGAAGAAACGGACCAAGTGGACCTGCTGGTGCGCCTCGACTTTGTCCATGGACAGTGTGTGTGGCATTGACTTTGCAAGCCTATCTGGGCAAAAGAAGCAAAAGAAGCAAGGGAAGAAGAAAATAAGAAGAAGCCCAGATAATACAGGTACCATTGCCAAGGTAATACAGTAGTATCACGGTCCTACTACCGGCCAGATGTCCCGACAGCTGGCCTCTCTTTTCAAAATGAGATGGAATGGCCGATACGAACTTGCATCTCCATGCGGTGCTATTCTGCAAAGAAAAAAAAACGCCTTCTCGTGGATTCCCGTTTTGGGCAAACAATATGCTTTTGTCCGTCTCTTGGCTCAACATTCCCCTTTTTTGTGCGCCTTGCCCGCCAGGAAAACGGGGATAGTGACAGGTTTCCTGCAGGAAGCCAAAATTAAAGCAAGCCCCCAAAAAGACACCAGGGACCAGACATAGTAGTCGTCGTACAGTACGCTCTTCCAGCATCCATTGACAGACAAGATGCAATTCACACTTTACGGTACACGAGTCGACACGCCACCATCCGTCCAAGCGGAGCTGTATCCATCGCCAGGCTGCTCCCAAAAAGAACACCAATCGTCAAGCTAGAAGAAGAAGAAGAAGAAGCCCTTTGCAAAACATTCTCGTGCAACGCCCCTTACACTAGCTTGACTATCACGTCCTTCTCCTGAACGCCACGCGGGACACGACGAAACGGCGGCCAAAAAGCTTGTTTTTTGCTTTTTTTTCTTTTTTTCTTTTCTTTTACAATTGGCAGTTTGAACTGTCTTTGGATGAAACGTGCGTACGCGGCCCAAAGACAAGACAAAGAACGAGACAAACACACCAGTCTCCATTATGTACCATCATCCAAAAAAAAAAAAAAAAAAAAAAAAAAAAAAGTTCCCGCCATGGCAATCCTCCAAAGGCGATCTTCAACCGACAGCTCAGCATCTATCTGGCTGATCGGCCTCCCTCTCGAGCTCAGCTTGATGAGCCCATCCCGCTAGAGCACACCATCTCGCGAGCGCCACTACGGCCTGACGGGCCAGTGGCATGAAAACGCCATCCCGAAGCCATCATGCGCATCTCATCCGATTACGTTGGAACCAAATGCATGAAAAGCCATCAACTCCAATTCAAACAATTCTTTTCTTCTTAATTCTTTCTCATACCTTGTTGACAACATTGACAAGATTCTGACGCAGGTCATGTACAAAGATAGAAACCCATCTCGATCGCGGTACGACTCTCGCCACTCGTCTTTTTTTTCCCCTCTGCAGATCAGGACCCAACCCGAGCAATCAAATCACCTTGCATCCAAAGCACAGCTCCATCATCTCAGCACCCTGCATGCGGATGATCGATCCAAATCATCCCAATCCACCCACTCACCTCATTCCACTCATTTTCCTCATCTCTTCACCCTCACCCTCAACCCCCCCCTTTGAGATAAACAACACCCAATCATCCGCAATCCTCACAAACAAAAGACACACGATTTTAATAAAACAAAAAAGCCACCTCAACCCCCAGCACGCACCCTAAACAAAACAAAACAGATCGCCGCATCAATCTCCTCTCTATCTTTTCAGCTCCCCCTCCCAAAACGCAAAACCCCCTGCCGTCGATCGCCGACTCGTCATCACACGCTGCTCAATACAGCAATTCCCACTGCAGATGAATGGGGTCTCCCCATATCATCTCTCTTCTCCTTCTTCTCTCCCTCCCTCCCTCCCTCCAGATAAACAGCGAACGAGTCGGAAGGGAGATTGCCGAACCGAGGTAAGTAAGGTTTTATTTTGCGGGAGAGAAAAAAAAACGTGGACGAATGTGATGTGTCGGCTTTTGATGATATCATTGCGAAAACGTCGTGCATGAGAGCTGAAAAAATATGTATGGAGATGAAATTCCGCTTTACCCGGATCAATTGCGCAAACTTCAGATTGGGGGGATCCAATGTGTCAGTCTGCAGCAAACAAACGTCAATCTGCAAAATGAATACCACCTTTCATTCTATACAGCGTGGGCTGAGAAGTGTCAAGGGCGTAATCTTCTCCTCAATTTACCCTTTTTTAGGGTCTGACTGGACAACACCCCTATCCCACTAGATAACACCCCTCATGTGGCTAGGTAGCCTAGTATAGCCGGTGTTGGCTTTCCTTAGTAATTTACTAGTAATATAAGACATGCGCTATTAAGCTTAACCGACTTTAATATATATACACACTAAGTACACTTATAGACTAACACTTAGCTATATCTTAATTAAAATTAAAGCTATTTATAAGCTGTCTCTGTTATTATAAATACTATTTTCTCCTTAACCTTTCTTATATAAAAAAATGCTATTACTGCTATTAAAAAAACTAGTAAAGCTAGCAGCTATAATCTTATTATATATTTAAGAAAACTAATTAAAAGAGACTTTTATATAATTATTATATATTATACTAAGTCTTAGCTATATAAGTTAGTAGCTAAGGAAAATATTTATAACTTTAAAAGATAGAAAAGTAGTATATAGTAAATCTCTTATCCCTTTTATATTTAAATTAAGCATATTAATAAAAAAGGCAGGTTCTGCTTTTAATAGCTAAAGTAAAAAAATAGTAATATAGCTAGTATATATAATTATTTACTACTTAAGC